TATATATATATATATATTCTTATCTTATATCGTATTAAAAAGATCGGGATTTTAAAAATCGAGTGAAATCCGAAAATGACCTCCGAAAACTCATTTGGACAAACTATAAAATGGTCTCAAATAAAGAACTTCAAAAAGTGATAACCACCGAAAAAGGCGATTGAAAAATTATATTGATTTAGATTTAGTACGTCGAAAAATTAAATGCGCAATTCAATATTTCCGATTTTAAAAGTAATTCTACCATATATTGATCGTACTCCCCCGAAACTAGCGTCCTCACCCATCCCCTCCTACTTCAAAAAGCCTCCACACGGTCTCTTATAAGTAGTCCGCGCAGACTATTTAAAAAGTGAACCAGTTGTGCGCATGAACCCAAAACCTTTTATAAAAGTAATTGAGAGAAATTTATCTTATATATTTGAGAATTGAATCTGTAGTGGTTGACAAGTGAATAAAGCAAACCAATAATACTCATAAATAAAATAAATTTTTAGTCATGTATTTGTTACCACTTTCTTATTTTAACTAGATTTTGTATTAAAGGACTCTTTCGGAAAATGGATATGCTTCACAGTGGTCTGATCGGACTACCTATAAGAAACCGTGTGGATGCTTTCAGTTATAGGAGGCGTTGGCTCACCTCCGCGCCGTGGAGGTTGCTGGGGTCTTATTTACGTCACTGACAACACCAGAGAAAAATAAAACGACAGTGTTATATAGGTTGTCATGTATCGAAAATTTAAAAATATCTATAATACCTTTTCCTGGGCATTTGCAGCCGAGATCACATAATGGATGCTTGTCAATAGATGGAACTCCGATGAACTGAATAGCAGTTGGTGGTTGAAATGCTGAAACAACACAGCTAAAAAGTAATGAATAGATGAAGCCAAAAGCGGTCGTCTGAAATGAAAATTAGTATTAGAGGTTAATTGGTTGTTCTGTTAGACATAATCATAGTTCAAAACTTGTTAGGTCGTTGGGATCAATTTTGCAACTTGGTAGAAAAAATAATAATTAAACTAGAGAAAATTGATTCACTTTACCAATACAATAATGCTTAACTTACATACCTGCCAACTTTTACGCATTTGGCTTAAAATTTTATTTTTATATTTAAAGTGGTAGTAAATGTATATTTTCTTTACTTTTATAAACTTAATTTTTAAATGATTTTGATCACCACTATTCTTAAAAAAATTAAGTATAGATATTAATATGCGTTACTACCATGGTCATCAGCTTAAGCCTTTTGAAAAACAACGTATTTTTTTGCTTGAAATTGAAATTTTAATTCCATTTCAATACCACTGGGAAAAATCGTAATGGAAGGAATTAAAAGTTGGCAGGTATGAACTTATTTGCGTTTAGCGCCGTTTTGAAAACACAGCTCTCTTTTTCTAAAACGAAAGCAGTGGTAGTGAAAGTGTTTCATAATTACGTTTATTTCGCAGAAACAAAGTAGTTTTATCTACCACAAAAAAAACCATATTAATTGATATCAATATTTGATACTAACGGAAAAGTTTAAAGCATTTTGAAAGCTAAAGTAATAAGGAAAGAAAAAGTGAAAAGAAAATATCAACTTAAAATAAACAAATGTGTAATAATACCACTTTTTTTATGCAAGTGATTTTTATATTTAGACCAGATATTTATTAGTTACTACCATTTCTTTTTAGTGATTTATTAGTTACTAAAATAACTAATAAATTTTTTTGTATCTGTATGTACCATACCTGCCAACTTTTACTCCCTTCCATTTTCCCCAGTGGTATTAAAACGAAGTTGAAACTTCAATTTTAAGCAAACAAATACGTTGTATTTGAGAAAACTTAAGTTGACAACCATGATAGTAACGCAAATTAATATATGTGCTTAATTTTTGCAGGAATAGTGGTGATCAATATCTTTTAAAAATTAATATTATAAAGGAAAAAAATAGTATATAATTACTACCACTTTAAATATGAAAATAAAATCTTCGGGAAAATCCGGAAGAGTTGGCAGGTATGATGTACGTTTAAGATATTGATTTGTCTTGGTAGATAAAACAATCAGTTTTGAAACTTTAAAAATTAAGATTTATATACTATACAAGAACAGTTTCTCGTATTTATACTTCACACGTTGAGCGCCGCGTCAGCCATCGGTGGCTGACACATTACATTTTGGCTGCGTCTGCCACCGCTTGCTGATACTGACCTTTCACATAGGCCGCGAAAAACAGCTGGCTGACAGCGTATAACATGATATAAAACTATAAAATTTACATTCATTTATGGAATTGCAGAAAATTTATTCAAAATTTGCTTAATTATTGTGATTCTTGGTTTAATAAATTTAATTTAGTAGATTTTAATTCACCAATATTTTTAAACAATTCGCAGGCATAATTCACCACTTTATCAGATATGACATGCTAAACCTTATATAAATTAGCAAAATCTGTCTATATTTGCAAACTTAGTTTGTAGTTATTTACCGTATAGCCAGACGAGCAAGCCATGTAAAATTAGAGTGGCATTCAACGTGTTAATATTTTTATGCATTGGTCTAATTAGTTTTCACGATGGTACAATTTTCCTTCGAATATTGAGTTCGAAATAAAAATTGCCTATCTACGCTTTTAACACAAAAGGATTGGATTCAGAGATGCCAACTGCTCCAGACTCGCCGAAATAATTTAATAAAACGGTTAAATAACTGCAAAGTAAATTTTGCAAATATTCGACTATTTTTGCTTGCTTTTTAAACGGTATTGCCTACTTAAATAGTCCTAGTCCTAGCGTTTTGATTTTATTGGGCACCTGGGCCGCGAAGCGGCCCCTATCCCATTCATCTGGAATTTTAGAACAGTTTTGGTTGAGCAATGAGGTAAGCAGGCAATGGAGTTGCTTTTATGAATGTTTCAAGCTCTTTGCTTGAATATCTAAAAAGGAATCAAAAATAAATTGAGCAGCTTGCTCTAAACTGTGTTTGTTTGATTTTGGAGTTGTTCAGAATTAAATCAGCATGAGTAAACGTTATTTTCAGCCTACTTAAATATTAAAAAGAGCGAATTATATAGGCCTAAGTATTATTTAGTAATAGTGGGGGATAAAAATCTACTAAATTAAATTTATTAAACCAAGAATCACAATTGATAAACTACCACTTCAAAATTGTATCTATTTGCTGTCCGGAGCAAGTTGGCATCTCTGGGATGTGTTAGATTTAAAGTAAAAGCAAAAATAAGTCTATCAAATTAGCTATGCCCAAACTTAAGCTACCGCTTTTTATTTTCTACTATCCTGATTCTGATTCCGTACTACTACATTTATGTAGTAGAACGGAATATGTATGTATGTATGTACAAAAGGTTGAAAGTGATCATGCAGATTAAAAAACGCGCATGCCAAGAAGTATACACTTGATTTAATACAATCCCCTTGAGGCATAATTTTTATTCAGATTTTAACCTCAAATGTTTAAAATGCAGCTTCTTTCATTTTTTTACGAAAATAAATATATTTCCAAATTTATCTTTTGAAAAATGTAACTATCTGATAAACGTAATATTGAGAATAATTGATTAAGAACATGGTATGTTCTACAGTAAATTTACATCACTAATTTATTTTGCGGTCTTTAAAAAATAAACGGTTCAGTAATTTGTTTCCAAGGGTTTCTATGAATCCTCTATAACTATTTTATCTTATTCATGAAAATATTACTTAAAGATAACATCAACTAAGTACTTGTAGTTAAAACTAATAAAATAAAAAGTACTTGTAGTTAAAACATTTTACTTCTTCGTTTTATACAGAAGAAATAAACTGTCTCTATCTATCACTATTTATTAATAGCAGTTAAAAAATCTCAGCAAAACATGAATGCTAAGATCTAGAAAAAAAATTGATAATAAAAAATAGTCTATTTTTGCTTAATAAAAGAAAGAACTGAAGCATTCTTACTAACAGCATGCAATCAATTATTTACTCAACAAATAATAAATCTTCATCATTTGGCTACTGGTATACATACAAGTGNACTGATAAAAGTCTTATGAGAGATCCATTTGCTTTAAAAATTTCTACTTTGGTTCGCCTACCACTAGAAAGAATTATTTTCAAAATCCTCATAAGTTGGAGGGTATGCATACAAGTGACGTATCTCGATTCTGATTGGTTGTTGAAACGTAGCATGTGCTTACGTTAACAGCTGTTCTTTCCATTCTAGTTCGAGTAAGCCAAGCCTCTCAAGTATCAATTTTTTTAGGTGATACTAACGCGAAGATTCTTACAGGCATGAAGCCATGCAGAACATAAACAAACTAATTATTCTTCAAAGTTGCCAGGTACACAAAACAAATATATATCACGGTTACAATAAAATACATAAACAAATAATGAATCTAAGTTAAGTAAAAGATGTAGACGAGAGAGAATTACATTTGAACAAATTCGATGTGCTATACGGCACTGTATTTATTTAACTTCACGTTAATTAAGATTCTAACATATGTGGAGAAACTTTGCTCAACTTAAACACTTATTTTGCTTAGAAACGATAAGCTGGAGCTGACGTCATTAGGTCACGTGTGTAGGTATATCTTATATTCTTCTTCTTGAAGTTTTTTTTTCCAATGCCCACCTGGAGAATGATATTTCGTCATACAGACATCTGAAGGACAGATTTGTTGGCCACTCTTTCAGGGGCACCATATTAGGTAGACCAACTTTGCGCCCACTATAAGGACAGATAGTACAGAGAATGAAAGAGCATCCATGCCTTGCCCGGGATTCGAATCCAGAACCTTTCTGATGTAAGATCAGTTTCCTGACCCCTACACAGGCTGATCGGCCATCTTGAAGTGATCACCCAATTGATTAAGAAATGATGAATTTTTGCCATTCGGATATGCATGTGTTGAAATAAGGCTTTAACATTTGAGGGGAAATTTTTCATACACATATATTTCCTTTACAAAAAAAATGGTGCTGCCGGATTGCGAATAAATATTTATTAGTGGTATTAACATTTATTTTCTTAAAAAATTTTACCACCTCTTCATATCAAGAATTCAAAGCGTCATAAGAAATGCAAATTCATTACACTTATCTCGCGGTGACATTTTTAAAGAATGGGCGTAATTTTCCTTATTCTACAAGTTTTACTATTTAATTCGCTACCAATTTATTAAAACTGCTGCCAAAAGCGGAGAAGTATGCATAGTGGTCTCAAAAATTATAGAAAATTTATTTCTGTTCTTAGGAATTATCTACACAGTTCTTATTAGGAGCTATCGAAAGCTTTTTTCAATAAGATGAAACATGGAATTCAATACCATTTTTACAGTTATTTCGGTGAAACAAAGATATTCCTATTCGTCATAATAAAAGTAACGTAAGTATTATTCATTTTGTGCACATTTAATTAAATTATCCATTTACTATATTTCAAAAACTAAAGTGATATCCGAACTGGATACTATCAACGTTTTATTAAGCTTTATTACAGAGATACCAACTGCTCCGGACAAGCCAAAATAATTAATAAAACGGTAGATAACTACAAAGAAAATTTTGCAAATATTTGACTATTTTTGCTTGCTTTTTAAAAGGTATAACATGATATTTGTGTTATAAAGCGGTGAATTGTATAAGCCTACGAATTATTTAGAAATAGTGGTGGATAGAAATCTGCTAAATTGAATTTATTAAATCAAGAATCACAATTGATAAACTACCACTTTAAAATATATATTTGCTGTCCGGAGCAAGTTGGCATCTCTGCTTTAAAACTGGCCCACTTTTTTACACAGGTACATTTTACATCACATTAACGTGTTATTCATACGTCAAAGCGTTATGATTCATTTAAAATTTCAAATGTAAATTTTTTTAATATCATGTAAATAACGTAGATACATATTAACCATGACACGCGTATTTTACTTTACCGGTAGAAGACGATTTTGTTTATTTAGAATAAAAAAATTTATGCTAAGTATGCTAAATTTCATCAAAATATGATAAGTACCTCAACACTTTATAAACAACCTCATGCAACGAAAATAACATGCTTAAAAAAAGCGATAAACAAAAAAATAATTAAGACAATGTTTTAAAAACTGTTGTTTTTTTTTAATGAATGAGCGAATTTTTTTTCTTCTTTTTTTTTTTAGAAATTTAAAGTAAGTGTAAATGAGAAAGATTTTTTACAGAATAGTTTTCTATCAATTCTCATCACCATAAGCAACTACTTGCTTAAATTTAAAATTTAAATTTATACTCAAAAATGCTTACTACTCTCAATATGTCAAAAAAAAAAACAAAAAAGCTGATGCAAAAGTTATTAAATCCAAGTTAACATTTAACAACTCTTAACTTCTGTTTTACGATTTTCGTGCCTTCTCACCTTCTGGAGGTACTTCACTATTGTATTGAACTGCAAGACGCCTTATGTCTGAGAAGACAATGGCGGGCGTAATTTAAAAAGAAAAAGAAATTTCAATTTTATGCAGTATCAGACTCTCTTAGATTTTATAAATTTCCCAAGAAAGCCAACTAATCTTTATTTTGAACATATGTAGAATTTTTTTTATTAAAATTTTGAAATTTATTTTAAATTTGAACGTACATAAGCTAATTTTGATGCGTATTTTTCAATAATGTTTTTTTCATTAAAAAAAAAAAAGTTGTTTTTGTACCCACTTGAATTATGACATGGGGCTAGTGTAATGACATAAGGTAATACAAAGTACGTCGACACATCCATACTAGCACTCTGCAAACAATTTTTCTCTTAGTAAACGTTTTAGAAGGTTTTAAATAGCATAACTGTTGACTCATTTTTATAGATCATACTTCATGCTTATAAATATGCTGTTCGTTTCTACCCATATTTTCAACGACCTAAATGATAGCGTTTAAGTTAGTTTTTTTAAATTTTTTGTACTATTATAATTTCAAAAGTATTCTTAAAAAGATATCGCAATCATCCTTTATTGTGATTTCAAAACTCTGATGGCATTAAAAAAAAAATTTATAGAACCCATTTTTTATTTTGGGTGATAAGAATTTTGCATGGTAAAATAAGGCATTATTTTTAAAATCTTCAAGCATGATGTTTAAAATTGTGTCAACAGTTCGCCGTGAAAAATCTTGCAAAACATTTGCTGCGAAAAGAAAGATTGTTTACATAGAGTTAATATATAAGTGTTTGCATTTTTTTTTATAACCCTTGTAGCTTTAAAACATCGAATAAGTTAATGAGAGATGTGTCCCCATGACATGGGGACTGGTTCTTCCGTTCCCATGTCATTCTGGTGGCGGCGAATTTTAAGACCTACTATTTTATTTTTTATAAAATAAAGTTGATTTACAATGATTTGACCTCCACGATAGATAACAATTAAACAACATACTTAAAACAAATAAGACCTGATAATTGTACGGATTTGTTTTTTTAAGTGATGACAAAAGCAAATCTTAATTGTTATTTATCACATTAAACATCGCAGGGATCTATAACTTTCGCAGATGTAACTTATGTAAAATATTGTGTCAGAATTTCTACAGTTCGAAGAAAAATTTAATGAAGGTAACGAAGATACAATTAAACTTTGATCACTTAATAAATTTGCAAATAGTCTAAAATGGCAATTAAAAAGCAACTTAACACAGTCACTGCCTGCAGAGCAGGCCGTTTAACTATATCTATCATTAAAGAGTGGTAATCTATAAAGATATAAATCAAAGTTAAATTTTCTTATCATAGCAATCATGATAGTTCTTGAATTTTACAATAAAATTATTTCAATAAACAATAAGTTTATTTCAATAAACATTAAGTCTTTGTTTTGAGAAAACTATGTTTTCTACAAAAATAGTTGGATAACAATATGCATCTTGCTACCACTTGATCTGTTTTTATTTACACAAATTGTAGGGAAGAATTTCGTCTTCCTGTATTGCATGATCGGCACCGAAAGCGGTAAGAATTACGAATTTACAATTCCACTATAAATGCCTTTGTTTTATTATTAGCTACTTAATAATCAAGTGTTTCGTTTGACAACGACTCATGAAAGTTTTTTACTCGATTTTACCAAATCACATAAAACTCATAAAAAAATTCAAAGTGAAATATAATAAACTGAAATATTCCATTTGTCTAAAAAGTTCCTTGTCTACCCTGCACGTTTTCCTCCTACACCCCAGTTATAGAAAAAAGACAGTTCCCCACTTATAACTTTAACTCTACGCGTCTGATAAAAAAATAATCAATTAATTCTGATTACGAGCATACAAAAACAAACATAAGCAACTTACGTGAGCCATAGTGGAACTGACTGATGAAAGAAAGGTGAAAAATAATCAATTTCATCATTTGCTGAGTTTGCTTTCCATGTTTAAAGTCAAAAATTGATAAGCACTCGGCTCTCACTTAGCTAATAATATAATTAATATGCAACCGTTTTATTTCTTAAAAAATATTCATTTCAGTCTTCTTTTTTTAATTCAAAATATCCACAATGTTTGTGCTCTGAATATGTAATCATAGGCATAATTTTAAATACGTGTCATTATAGAAATTTGAGAAATCATCTTGGTATTATAAATGACAAACAACCAATAATTTTTAAAGCTGACTATAGCGGAATAAAAAAGCGGTAGGTTACAAATACTCCATTTTATTATCTAAACGTGCCTCAATAAAATTAATCAGAGCCGCGATTGCTCAGGGGATAGAGCCGGGGATTTGAACCCGGTTCGCCTCATTGGAAGGCGAACCGGGTTCAAATCCCAGTCGATACGAATTCCGCATCCGGCTTGCATCGACCACAGTGCTGACGTGAAATATCCTCAGTGGTAGACGGATCATGGGTTAGAGTCCCTTTGACGTCAGGCTAACCGTGAGAGGTTCTCGTGGTCTTCCTCTCCATGTAACGCAAATGTGGGTTAGCTCCATCAAAACGTCTTCCACGAAGGCAAATACTATTTCTCCCAATACTCGATCCAGGAGTTCCCTTGTCTTCTGGATTGGGTTCAAAATTACAAGGCTACGGAGTTGAACATTAGTAGTCGTAAACCCATAAAATTGGGTCGGCTGTTCAACGACGCGGTTATGAAATAATATAATATAAAATTAATCAATTATTTATTATAAGTTGATTACAATTGATTGGGTCGGCTGTTCAACGACGGTTATAAAATAATATAATATAAAATTAATCAATTATTTATTATAAGTTGATCGCAATTATTCAAAAACAAATATAAGCAACTTACATGAGCCATTATGAATCGGACTGACGAAATAATCCAAAGGAAAGGAAGTAAATAATCTATTTCATCATTTTCTGAGATAAATAATTATTTTCTAATTAATAAATACTATATCACTTAACAAATAGTAAAACTAATGTACTTCAATTATAATATAGTTTCAATTAAAAATTGTCTTTTATGGTATTCTAAACACAAAAGTTGTGCTCGTTTTTTTGAATGCGCAGACAAATATATTTACTGTTCATAGATAAATCTCAAGTATAAAGAATTACGGCGCAAGGTAGGTGAAAAATTCTTTTCGGACACACAAAATAGATAAGGTATCTCAAGTTTATCGACTTAGGAGATGCTTTTTTATTCCATATTCCATACTTTGTTCCAACAGATAACACTCTAAAGTCATTATTTTGTTTCCGTTCTGATCAATTGTTCTTGGAATTGCCGTTTTTAGTTGTGAATCATTCAGTGTACGATTTTTTTTTAAAAAACATAAATAGTATTTTTGAAAGAAATATTACACCCATTACAACAAACACAAAAAGGATCAAAGCTTTGAATTTATAGGTGGATTTTTTGTCATTTTACTTTCTGTTTAAACTGACAGCGGGATACATTTTTTTACAGAAAAAAGGTACTTATAGAAGAAGGCTGTTGAGTTGTTATTGTATATTTTTGAAACGGTGGCTCCACAGTGGGCCAGCATTCAAGGTTTCGTGGTCAAAATTAGTACTTCGATAAAATTTGTTTCAACATTTGTGGGTTTTTATGTGCAGATAAATTGAATTAGTAGATGAAATTTTGAAATACACTAAAAATACCCCAAAAAACAAAATGGCGGCAGAAATATGGCGAGAAAAAATTAAAAAAAATAATATAGTACGTTTAAATAATTAAATATAGCAATGAAAATATAATAATTTTCGCAATTTTATAATAAAAATGAAGCAAATTATATTTCCGAAGTAATATTACAAAATAACGCGAATTAATTACAAAATAAAGCGAAAACACGAAGAAAAAAACATAATTTTTGTTTTTTGGTATATTTAGTCCACCTTTGCAATACGGGCAAAATGGGGCAGGTTTTTTCGAAAGAAGAAAACTAAGTTTCGAAAGTCATTCAAACATTGCAAAATGTCAAATGATAAGATATAAACTATAAGTTTGTTAAGAGTAATCCAACAAAATGAAAAATTTTACTATAATTTCAGACTAATTACTCTGATAAAAATGTAACAGTAAGGTGAAATTCTTATATATATTTCTGAAATAAAAATTTAAAAGTTTCATTTAAAAAAAATTTTTAAACATATTTTTCATTACATTGCACTCTTGTCGGTCCAAAAAGTAAATTATAATGTTTGGAATGATTATGAATACTTATTTTGGGCTATATTTAAACTGCCTATACATATTTTAATTGAAAATTTAATTTTTAACTTTTGGCCAAAGATCATGGTCTTCTGGCCCACAGTGCGCTCCCGAAAATTTTCATAAATTTCCAAAATAAATTTTTTTACTTGAGTTAGAGATCGTACAGTGGTAGTGAGGGAATAATGTAGATAAATTTTAAACATTTCCCAAACAAGCATATAATCATTATTTTGAACACATCATTTTTTTAATTAAAATTCGAACGTTTATCTTCATTTTAACTGAAACGTTATATTATTTGGATGCTTATTTGTAGCTTTGGCATCTATTCGCAGCCCAAGAAAAAAAAGTTCGACTTAAGTTGAACTTTTTCAAACAATTGTTTGATTCCGTAACAAGTTATGCTTGTTTCTGAGTGAGGGAAACAATAAATAATATTTTATATTTTGCTGAGTTTCATCGTATCAACGTATAACTATCATGCACTTATATGTCTGTGTCATTTATTCATCTGTAGTGCAGTGATCGTTAATATCATTCTTATTTAATATATAAAACCAAGAATGAAATAAAAAAAGAAAAAGTTTTACCATGATCGAAGATAATATTTACGTTTGGCTTTACGATAGGTTGGTAAATTTTGGCTGTTACTAGCAAAGAATCATTTTAACCTCGGAACTATTGAAACGCTTCTAGTAAGTTTAAGTTTACAACTTTAAAATGCAAAAACTAATTTAAGTAAAAGGATTTTTTGAGAAATAGAGCCAAAGCAGATTTTTTTATTTTACATTATATTTCTTGAAAAATAAATAGGAAAAAAAAGATAACTTATAAAATAGCAGCTTTTACTCAAATTTGATATAAACTAAGCTTCTAACAGCGTAAAAGAATCACCAAACATTGGAATAATGCTAAAATACAAACCATAAAAATAAGTATAATTTTGTTCAGTTTCATCTATACAGGCAAACTTCTTAAAACAAGATTATTAGTTTTGTCAGACAAAAGAAAACTTTAGCTCTCTAAAAATTTGATGTAATCGTTCAATTACAGGTTGCTGCAAAATTTTGACTGACAGATGTAGAAGGCGTCAAAAGAATAAAAACTTACCAGAAAACATGGGATCACAAAGTAGAGGTCACTCGAGGTTTGTCCCTACCTAAAATTAACGTTTGAATGCAATTAGCTCTGAGGATCTTCACCGACTTGTATTCTTGTGTGCTAAGTCATTTAACTGAAGATCCACAGAGAACAACATACAAACATATCGATTAAGGTAGGGCAACCTAAATTGACCTCCATCTTTCATCTCTTCTAGATTCAGATATTGCGAGCATTTTTGCAATTCTCAACCTCTCACCGTGGTTTGCGACCCCATGCTCTATGGTAAATTTTCATCTGCCTTTTATCATCCCTCTGTAATTGCTGGTCGAATTTTGGAACATCTCATATAATAGACGATAACGTGTCACTTTTATAGTCATTCAATACTGAAACCAGCTTGATACGAAGAAGAAAAAAATGGTCAGCCGAGTAAAAAATACTTAAAATAGTCGCTGTAAATACTTGCAATTTTTGAGGAATGCTTTCATTAGCCGATACAATTAAACTGATGGTTTATAAGAGCAAATTTTTAAATTTCAAAGGCAGTTTAAAGACACGTGATTGATTACCAAAACATGTGACCATTTAATTCACTATATCCTAGCTGACTACGCTTTTTTCGTAAAGGGGGAAGAAAAAAACAATAAATGAGTACTGCAGAGATGCCAACTGCTCCGGACACGCCAAAATAATTTATAAAACGGTAAATAACTAAACTAAATTATGCAAATACTTGACTAATCTTGCCTGCATTTTAGAGGGTATAGCGTGACATAGCTGAAAAAAGTGGTGAATTATATAAACCTACTAATAATTTAGAAATAGTGGTAGATAAAAATCTAATAAATTGAATTTATTTAACTAAGAATCACAATTGATGAGCTACCACTTAAAAATATTTATTCGCTGTCCGGATCAAGTTGGCATCTCTGGTACTGTACAGCAACAAAATCATGCACAAAATTGAAAGATTAATACTGACATAAATAATGAAGCAGAAAAATTCCAATGTTTTTTATTATTTGTAACCCTTTCCGGTGTCTTTAATTTATTCGAAGCAAAACACGCATTTAGTAGTACTTCTAGTGGGGGTGATTGTGGCACCAAGTGAAAAAGCCTGAAAATGTTATGTGAAGAAAATAAATCAATTCATATACCATATGAATTCATATACCATATGAATCATTACATGTTTCATATTTAACATAATTTTTTGAACTAACATAGTTAAATTACTTCTTACAATAATCGCGATAATGGATTTTAAAAACACGAAAATACAAATTGCGATATTGAATTTTTAAACTGCTTAAACACGAATCACTGTGCAAAATTTTTAGTTGGAGTGAATATGATTCGTAACGCGTAGTCTTTTAATCACGTATAAATACGAAAATCGATATTTGATATTACAAACGCGAGAATACGAATCTCAATATTAGATTTTCAAAACTCGTGAATGCGAATCGCGGCATTGGATTTTAAGATCGCATAAATACGAGTCGCGATATTGCTTTTTTAAAAACGTGTAAATACAAATCGAAATATTAGACTTTTAAATCAAGTCAACAGGAATAGCGATGTTCGATTTTTAAATCAAGTGAGTAAGAATCGTGATATTAGCAGATTCCGGCGTAATTCCAAACATTTAAAATGGCAAAAATTCGCCAAACCAAAAGAAAAAGAATGGCGAAAGAATCACGTATAACGTAATTCTTCATGTAAGTGGCGGAATAATGATCGTAAACGTCTCATAACTAGATTTAGAAAAAACTTCAAAGTTTTGTCGGATTATAAGTTTTTGATTCGCGGTACTCCGTTCTTGAAATATGCGGAATTCTACGATATTCATGCAAAAATCGCATTCACCGCTTCTAGTTTTCAGACCCAGATGAAAGATACGAAGAAACTCGGAATTCCGGTTTACCCCAGGAATACAATCACTTTTGATAGACAGATCATAGAGGTGGGATTTACATGTTTTAGTAGAAGAAGTAATTTTAATCTTAAACCGAGGTGTTCAAACAGCGTTACGCAAAACATTTACCAGTACTTTGCAAAACGACTTCTAGTTTAAAGAAACAAATTTTAAAATTATTTTTTAACGGAAAAAAAAAATTTGAATACTGTGATTTCTTGCACCGTCAGAGAATAAGAGAAAGAAAATAGAGTATCAATTGTTTCTCACTATTCAGGTAAAAAATTGACTGTATAAAAAGATAGTTGACAATATATAGAGATTTTGTATTGGGTCTACTTCACATTAATTGTAGTGCTAACTTTATTTTCCACCCCTTAGCGACACCGAGATCATCTCGACGAGTTGTATAGAAAAATTGTCACGCATGCGCTGTTAAGCACAAGTAACGTTAACGCTAGAGTGATTGGGGAATGTAACGCTATGCAAAATCTCTCTAAAGTTGAACATTAGTAGTCGTAAGCCCATAAAATTGGGTCCACTGTTCAACGATGGTTATAAAATATAAAATAAAATCTCTCTAATAAAGAGATTACCCCCTTTTTCCATTAACCTTAACGTTATTTGATTTTCCGAGCGCATGCTCGAAAATTTACCTACAAAACACGTGTTCCTAAGGGATAGAAAATATGATTAGTGTTACGGTTAACATAAAACAAACTCTAATATTTAACGAATCAATTTATTGTTCATTATACCACCAAATAAATTCATGTCAAAAGGCAAAAATAGACAACATTATGCAAACACAAAAAAAGTAACAATTTAATCAAATGTTTGGATTCTTGTTAAAAGAGAACTCATTATAAGCCACTTCTTCTATAAAGGCATATTTATATACCTTGGTATTAGAAACAATAAAAATTAAGTGATAATTAAAAAGAAAAATAAGAATTTACTCGGACAATTTTTAATTTAATACTTAAAAATTGTTTGTTGACACACAAATGCATATTAAATTCTAACACAGTTTAAACAAAATTTATAGAGAAATTTCGATTGATAAATAAAAATATTCAACCCATCTTAATCCCCCTCTCACTTGCATGCAAAATAAGAAACAATCAAAGAAAGGACTAATTTTTTTTACAAAAAATATAATTTTAGTTTTTAAAAAATAAAATATGAGCTAAACTATACAAAAACAAGTAGTAATTATGACTCTAACAACATTCATTAATGTGCAGGGAAATTTCTAGCAATCATTATTTTACATATTTCAATTCTAAAATAAATTTAAGACAAATTGCACATGGTTTTTTACTGAATCAATTTTACAAAGATAACTATGTTGAATACAAGCTTAGAAAAAATAAAAATAAAATTTTAAAAAAATCAGGAAAAAGCGAACAGAGTTTTAATTCATATTATAATATGAATTAGAATTATATTTTTAATTCTGGAATAAATACAGTTTTTGAAACAGAGAGAAACAAAACAAATTCAGATACTGTAAAACTTTCCTTACAAAAGTCTAAACTGCAATCTACATTTTTTCCACGTTGAATCTTGAGCAGCATTTTTCTTCTCATTATGAACACATTTTTCTAAGTTATATGGATAAACACAAACTACGATGAACAAAATTATCTTTTTCCACAATGAGAAGCAAAATTGTTAAGTTTTTCTTCAATTGTTTGACTATCTATCAGTATTTAAAATAAAATACGCAGGACTTTTAAATTAATTTAAGACCTTTGCATTAAAAATTTATAGCCAACATTTTTGTAGTTTGGACAGATTTTCTTGTTGCAGCAGAGATGGCATTTAATGACAAAGAAGCCTTCTTTCGACAAACATCCATACTTTTAGAAAAGAATAAAAGTTATCGTTGGATGTAATTACTTAACAGAAGGTGGTAAAATTTTGAAACGAAGTGGTTATTACTTTTTACCTCTGAGATAATCGATTATCTCTTTCTGATTTCCTAAAATATGATTGCAACTAAAAACCCCTGTGCATAATATTAATTTTTTGTTCTTTTTTTTTTCAAAATAAAGATTCAAATTACACTGATAAAAAATTGAAGGTAATATAATAAAAATTAATGATCTCCCACACTTGATGTACTAAACGGTGAAAGAGAAACACTTTTATTTTAATAAAACTTAAAAAAGTAGAATTCTTTAGAGTTGCAATTCCGAAAACGTGTTCCACAGTGCACTATGGTTTCGAGAGTTAAGGTTTTTTTCTTAACAGGTAATTAGTTTTGGAAGCAGTTATGTTAATATCTAATTTAACCAATTATTTATTTAATACACACTTAAATTATTTTTGTGATTGATTTGACCTAGTGAAAAAAGACAGCAAAATTTATAATAAAATAAAAATTTTAACACTATATTGAATAAATTAGGAAGAGAAAACACATTTATAAAAAATAAAAAGCCAATATAAATACAAAGAAAAAAGCCATCTCTATCTCAATGTTTATAAGAGGTTTTTTTTTTTCAACAAAAATCTTTATTCCGCTCATTTATTTTAAGCTTAAAGAAATAAAACAAATCAATTGCTCCTTCAGAACTGAGAATTCAATTGTCTGCCATAAAAACTAAAATGAAAGTTGATAAAAAAAATTGTTTCTAATTATCTCAAAATAATTAGTAATTTTTCTTTGGTTAATGTGTTCACAATTGGCAATAAAAGCTATTTATAAAGTAGGGTTTCCGAAAAAGGGTCGGTCCTTTAGGGTTTTGCTGCCCCCCCCCAAAAAAAACAAATGGTTTAGTGTATACACTTCCTTCATGAAATATTCCCTCATTCAAAACAATTCATGAATTATCATTTGTCGAAATTAATAGCAATATCTCAGCTGTAGATTTAGTGTATACACCTCCTAGATGAAATATTCCCTCATTAAAAACAATTCATGAATTATCATTTGTCGATTTAGTGTATACACCTCCTTAATGAAATATTCCCTCATTCAAAACAATTCATAAATTATCATTTGTCGAAATTAATAGCAATATCTCAGCTGTAGATTTAGTGTATACACCTCCTAGATGAAATATTCCCTCATTCAAAACAATTCGTGAATTATCATTTGTCAATTTAGTGTATACACCTCCTTAATGAAATATTCTCTCATTCAAAACAATTCATAAATTATCATTTCTCGAAATTAAATTTAGCAATATCTCAGCTGTAGATTTCGCTGCTGCCCGGCTACAAGGATGCTTATTGAGAGATCCTTTCTGAGAATATCTCCTATGGCACAATTCACATTCATATGGCTTTTCTTTAGTGTGAACAACAGTATGACTGATTAGGGCGGATTTACTAGAAAACAGCATATCACAATAATTACACGGAATTGCTTCAGCTTCATTATGAAGTTTTATATGTTTTTGATAAGCTCCTTTGTTTGAATATTGCTTATCACATACCTCACAAGTAAACCTTACATCAGAGTGGACAAATAAATGATTCTTCAAAAGCTCTTTATAGCGAAATCCTTTAGAACAAACATCACACTTGTGAGGTCTTTCACCAGTATGTATATAATAGTGTATTTTCAGATAATACGTAGAAGTAAAACGTTTGCCACATTTATCACATGCATACTTGTGTAATGGTTTATAATATTTTCTTTTTCTTGATTTTCCTCCTTGGAAATCTTTAGGTTCATGAGTTAGTGAGTGTTTACTCAATCCAGATTTAGCTTTAAAAGTTTTACCACATTTTTCACACATATAAGGTCTTTCCTGGCTGTGGGACAAGGAATGCCTTTGCAAATAAGCTTTTAAAGGAAAAGAAGCATTACATATTTCACAAGTAAATTTTTTAGAATTCGGTAGATTGTGCAGAGCTCGATGCCTGGATAAATTATTCCTATTAGACATCACTTTATCACAAATTTCACATTGATAGATTTCAATGCGCTTAGGGGTCAGATGCTGCCTGCGAACATGCCAGTCCAGCAATTTTTCGTACGCAAATCTTTTGCCACATTGATCACACTTGAACCATTTTTCTACATAGTGACTTTTTCTGTGCAAAAGAAGGCTATCTTTATCTGCAAATTTCAAATTACACGGTACACATTCTAACTCTTTAATGCGTTTAGTTTTGTGTGCTTGATTACGGTGCTTTCTCAACATAACTTTTTTTGTAAAACTCAGCTCACACTGGTCACAATCATAAGCATATTTTCCCTGTCTGCAGGAATTTAGAACATCAGCAGAAACATTTGAAGTTGAACCAAATTCTTTCAGACGAATGCAGTCATGATCGGTTAATGCTGATTCTTCGTTGAATATTTTATAGCATTTGCTACACTGGTACATCTCATGTACAACAATAAAATTTCTTTCATCTGTAACCATAGTTTCTTCCAAAGCATCAAACCTGTAACAGATAGAAACCAAATAAGAATTATTAGTAAAACTCAGGATTGTCATGAATATATTAAAAATGTTTTTATATGGTATCAAATATATAAAGTCTTAAAGTTGAGATATTTTTCAACTTGAAAGTAGGCTTTATTCAGGAAATAAGGGTGAAGGAAAAAAAGACTAAATATAGATAAGAACTAAGTGCCACTAATAAATTATAATTTTGAACTAATATAGGATAAAAAAATTTATACTTTTTAAAGGCTATACCTTTTATTCTGATCAATTTTTCAAATATACTCGTAACAGTTTTTATAATCATTTAAATACAAGTGCCCTTAAAATTAATTAAATATGTAGTTTCGTGAGTCGGCTGCCCACTTGTGATGACCATATATGTAGTTAATGTGCTTAATTAATGAAATAAAAACTTGTTATGCTTAAATAATTTGGAGTAATCAATTTTCTTATACATAAAAAAGGGCATTTTTTTGGAAAAATTAATAATCAGGATATTTTTTGACAAAAGCTTTGATATGTAATTATAAACAATAACTGAACATCCACCATCTCTCCTCTGCATGCTCTCCCCCTTTTTTGAGAGGGGTGATTTAAGGGGGGAAATTAAATTTCATCTAAAGAAGCAAGTGCGGCATTATTTTTCTGATGTATTTTATCATGTAGAATCACATCAAGCCAATCTTAAGAGGATCAAATTAATAGTTTAGAAGTTATAAGCATCTTATGTACAAAAAGTACAATTTTGTACTTGTACCTATTTTAACCCACCGACGGTTCTGCACGTAGAAAGTCGTACTTTTTTTTATGCTCGGAAATGGTCGTGAACGTAGAAAACCTCCCTCATTTTTCCACCTATAGATGGTCCTGCACGTAAAAAATGCCTCTGATTTTTGTCCGACGAAACGGCCATGCACGTGAAAAGTCGCTAATGCTTTATTCACTCCCTTCTCAGCTACGGTTAATTGATGTCCACTCCATCACCTGAAGGGTACAAATACTCAATACACAATAGAGTTGGCTTTCAAAGAAAATGCGAAAGGATTTTCGAAAATATTTAACTAAAACATTTTTTTTTTCAGTATAAAAAGAAAAGAAATCGGTATGGGAAGAGAATTACATGAGAAAATAGAACTAATTTTCATCTAATGTTAATTCGCAAAGATTAAAATTGATTTAAAAAAAAGTAAGAGATCAAAATTGACTCAGTACAGGTGATTGATTTTAATTTTGAAAATATAGTACAATAAATCTTGGTGAAAGTGATTCACCTAAATGTATGGAAAAAAAGAATCTGATATATTTAAAAATAATGTTTATAAATTATTTACATTTAATATTATCTTCAATTGTTTAAATAGTTTTCCATTTAGTTATATTTCTTTTTAATTTATAGAGTATTTAGCGAGTAACTAATGGTAGCTTTTCCCGTTATTGTTTTTTCTTTTGCTGGTTCAAAAAACATTTTCTAATATATAAAAAAAAAAAATTACAAATTTCGATTTTTTGTTAGTCATTAAAAAATTAATATTTAATATTCAGTTTCCATTTTTATTCTTTCAAAGTATTATCTAGTTTAAGAGGCAGGCATTAATTATTGAATTAATGATTCAATTTTAGTTAAGGGTGTAATTGCAGGTTGGTTAGCATCATCTCACTTAACCTCGAAATACTTTTTTCTCTCCATATGATCCTATGTTAATTTTTTTATATTCTCTCCCTCCCAAATCAGTTGCTACATTTCCAGTAAGTTGAGTTATAAATAACTTTCGATGCAGTTTAATAGAACAACAGTAAAGTTATACTTGTACTGAATTCACGGTTCATTAACTAAAATATCATTTTATGCGATTACCTATGGAAGAGTCCTAACAAAAAGGGGATTTGTTTGACAGCGTGAAAGCAATTTTTTTTAGCACCAACTTTTTTTCAAAAGTAGCTTCAAAAAAGAATTTTGAAACTAATTTGGTGTTGATTTAAGTAGGGAATGATTGGTATGTAAACCTTGTAAACTGATAGCATAGCACTTTGAAATCTCTGAAAAATGTTTAATCAAAATCATAAACTCATCAGTATCAATAAGCAGTGCAAAAGTATTCAAATGTAGAAGAGGGAGTATATTATTATTAAATGTCAATTATCTGACAGCTAGGCTTTTAGACTTTTTTTTGGTTAGAAATTTGTGTATATATTTAAATTATATATATGCATAGGTTTCACATGAAATTTAATATATTAATTAATATTTTAATTAATTTCCTAAAATTTTTGTTATAAAATTTTATTTCCTTTGAAAGATATTCCTATTTTTCTTGGGAATGTACCACCTTAAAAGTATTAAAATATCGAATAATAACATGAATAATACGAAGTCTTATAAACTGCTGAATAATAAATGTTTTATTATTTCTTAAATTGATTTAAATAAACGATTTTGCTCTAATTTGCTCTAATTAAGTTTATACAAACACATTGAAAATTTGCTACTTTAACCCTTTAATGGACCATTTATTTCTAGTAAAGGTAAGTTAAAGTATTTTTGGAATTGAAATTGACAAAAGAATAGTAATTGATATATGAAAAAGAAACCTCATTCAGCTTAGGTAAGTATATTTACCACGATTTATTAGGAACTCATTGACTTTTATTTTTCGTTATTTATAAAATAAATTTTATAAATGCTACAAACTTTAAAAGGAATTATATATTTTATAACTTTTATACGCTTTTTTAAACTAATAAATGGTAACCAATTTTATTCAAACGCGCTTCAAGAAAGCTGAAGTTGTTAAATGGAAACCTAAATTGAAAGTGGTAAAAAAGTTCGCTATGAACTTTAAACAGAGGTGTTAAGTATACTTATCATGGCCTTTGAAAGGGTTAATAAATATTTGCCTTAGGGAATTTTATATAATAACCAGTATAATAATATTGAGATGTTAAAGTTTCAAAAAGTTTCTACATATCTGATATTAGAAGAAATGTATTGTAAATTGTTTTTTCGTATTTTGCTCTTGAAGATGCCCCCCCCTCCCCCAGTTATGTTATTTTTGATGTTTAAATTTATTTATTATACCCTTGAAATAAAATAAGCAGTTCTATATCTTTTTGCGCAAACTCTTGAAATAACATTTAAAAAAAAATTTATTTTTTTTAAATAATCGCTTGTAATTTTTAATATTTAATAAAAAAAAATAAATAATATGACATTCTAAGAATTGTAATGTACTCAAATTTGTTATAATTTCATAAATTATTTAAAGCTAACAAAATCTTATTTTTATAATTCGTTTACCCAAAATATGCTCTTAATATTTATAATATACTTATTAATTTTAACACTTATTTATTAATAATAATAATTAATTAAATCAGGTATTCAACAACAGTCTGCTGTGAGCCAGAGGTTCATAGAAGTTAAGGCTCCACACACAATGGAATAATTGTGATGGTATGATCTTCCTTACGCACAGGCCACCTTTACTTCCCTGACAAGCATGATAGTAAATTTATAAAAATATACCATCAACTTCTGACGATTGTAACAAACTCTAACAAAATAACTCAATTAAGGTAAATTGCAGTAAAAGTGGAGTTAAATTACACAAATTATTGTGCTGGAGTAAATATAAAAGTATTATTGAATAGTTATAATGAACGAGATATAGTTCCATCAAATATGTAAAATTAATAATTAAAAGAGTTAAAGTCTAAACAGCTGAAGGAACAAAAACTAGATATTTAGTAATTTTTATTTTGCTACTAAGTGTTCATACGAGCTTTCATCATATCTAGAAATTAAATAGATAATTTCAAAATGAGCATAAGTCACATATTTTACTAAATCAAGTTAGCATTGGCTTTGCCATGTTTTTAGGTATAAAATTAGATTTGTACAAAAAAGAAGTGAATAGCATCACAACTAGACTCTTTATCCATGTGTCATAATTTTTATTTAATGTAGAAAAAACACGAGTCGCGAATTGAAATCATTATTTTAATCTTTTATTAAAAGAAATTTTAATTGAATGAATTTAATAATTAAAATAGATATTTTAATTTCGTTTTACTAATATTTTTATGACTTCTAAATAAACCTTTGCGTTGTTAAAAAAATAAAAAGCAAAATTTTATTACCATATTTACCTTATCTCTAGAATAAATACTTATTATTTCATTCTAAAAAAACAAAAACAAAAAAAAACAAAAAAAAACTCGTGCCATTTTTTAAATAACTGATTCAATGCAAATGAATTATTAAAAAAGGTTTGTTTGAAATATTTCACACAACTTTAAAGAATATTTCTGTCTTTATACCATTAATGGGAAAGTTGATTACTCCAAATTAATTAAACACATCCACTTCTACATAATAAGTCGAATTTTTTTTAGATACATTTTGATGCATTCTATATAAAATAATCTATGTTATTGACAAAAAACACTGTAATAAAAAGGATAATGACGTAATAAAAAGAAAAATATTGATAAAAACAAATTTTAAAACGCAACGCTAGATTTTACTCATTTTACTTGTTTCTTTTCTTTCTTTTTTTTTTGCCACAAGAGATTCTATACTCACTCACAGCTCAAATGAAATATTTTCAAACAGATTGAAAAAGTATTTCTTTCACGTCCAAAATGACCTGAGCAAAGGGGACAGTACGAACAGTCTATAATTACACCTCAAAAAGTAAACCACCCCACCTGTCAAGTAAATAATAGGAGAAAAATGGCCTTTCAAACACCATTTTCCATTATAGGGGGGTAGGAATTATCTCTTACTGTTTGGCAAGGGTTCTTAGAAAATGCAAGCGGCTATTTTAGGAACAGCAGTTTCTAGATATTGTAACCATTTGGAAGAAGTCAAAATTTAGATATCAAAACCGTCAGTGGGTTAAAGCTGCCACTGAGATAAAACTGTAAGAATTAGTAGCTTTAATTGCTTCAGATAAAAAAAAAAAACCAAAATAGAAATTACCAGAGGTATACCTCCGTACATTTTGTAATAATATGTTAGAGGAGGAAAATAGTTTTCTTTCTCTAACATATTCTTGTACAGTTTAATTGCATAAAATAATCCAAATAATGCATTTTTTTTAGACTTTTACACGCTATAAAATATATGCAATAATAAGTTAATTTTAAATACACAAAATGCAGAAGTCTCAAATTCAATCTATTGAAGATGAATAGATATAACGTTATGTTTATGTTTACAGAAATTCTCAAAATAAATAAATAAATAAAGAGAAAATATTTATGAAGTAAAAATTTGAGTTATGTTACGTGCTGTACACCATAAACATTTTTCTGAAAGTAATAGTTGTAAATATATATAAAAAAAAATACTGAATTCAATCTTTTAAAAAATCACAAACACTAAACTGATATTTTTTATTTAACTTAATTTTTCAATACAAAAATAACAATTAAATATTGAATTAGAATTTTGCCAAGAATTATAAATTGCACTGTGTTAAATGAAAAATAATTGGAGTAGACTAAAAGTAATGAGTATTACATAACTTCATTTTCTAATTTACTTTTCTTAGTATTCATTTCCCCCTCAAGTAACTATTGTACAATAAATTTTGTTCAAATTGTGTATTTTGTCATAAAAATACTTCTTTAAAATGAAAAGTGTAATAATTAGCAAATGTAAAAATTTAATGTTAAAATTTGTGTATCTTACAATTTAAATTTTTTTTTACTATTATTAAATAAAATAATATAAAATAATAAATTATTAAAAAAACTATTTTTGGCATGGAATTATCTTAGCATAAACAAATTTTATATTTTTGTGCAAAAATTTTTAAATTAGCTCAAAAAGTTCTTGAAACATAAATAATTACACAAAAAGTATAAATCAGCATTAAAGTGTTCAAACTTTCAACTGCTCTCCTGACAAAACTATTAGGAACCTATCTCCCAGATTACGATTACCCCTATGTTTTGTAGGTAAAATATGAAAAGACGTCAAAAATAATGCATTTTTATTTCGAGAAATTCCTTTTTTTGACTGACTTCATAAATTTTAAATATTGTCTGCACTATCTTATTAGGTCCAGTGGCTGGGTGGCGCAAAGTTGGTTTGTCGTCGGCCTAATGAGCCCAAGTGTGCGGGTTCGATCCCCGGCCCAGACACCGGATTTTTGGAATGCAGAAAATCCTCAGCGGCCATGTCGTATGATTATGCGGCATGTAAAAGATCCCTGGAGTGCCTTATTGGCTCAGAAACTAGACATCCAAATTAACATGACCAACGGTATCTCACCCATTGTGGTGGTCCTGAAAGAGTGGATACCACCTCTGGAGAATGCACTAGGTCTGCTCATCGGCAAGACCGATAATGCAGCTCATTGGAAATAAAAAAAATCTTATTAGGTCCCTTTATAAAAACCATTAATATTGAGTTCTAGTAAGTGAAAATTAAATCGTTAAATCAAAAGTTATACAGGGTGATTTTTTTGCATGCTGCACATTTAAATAGTATTAATTTTTATACATAAAAAATCAGATTTACAAGTTATTGAAAAATAAGAAAAAACTATTTTTGAAAATGAAGATGAAAGAATGTCTGCTTGAGAAGTAAAAAATAACATAAGTTTCTATGACACAAGCATACCTACAAAAAAAAAAAAAAAAATTGGATTTCAAAAACTTTAATTCTAACAAATAGGACATATAAAGGCACCTGTATAGATTTTGTCTAACTATACAAGTTCATTGAACAACATTGTAAAATTATATACTGTTCGCTTGTTGTAGTTGTTGTAGTTCATTTACATCGCACTAGAGCTGCACAATGGGCTATTGGCGACGGTCTGGGAAACATCCCTGAGGATGATCCGAAGACATGTCATCACAATTTTGATCCTTTGCAGAAGGGATGGTACCCCTGTTTCGGTAGCCCGACGACATCGCACTAGAGCTGCACAATGGGCTATTGGCGACTGTCTGGGAAACATCCCTGAGGATGATCCGAAGACATGTCATCACAATTTTGATCCTTTGCAGAAGGGATGGTACTCCTGTTTCGGTAGCCCGACGACCTGCACGCGAAGTCGAGCACTTTACGGTAGAACAGTTTAACGAGGACCAATACCGCACACCCTCGGTCCCTACGCAGACTAATCCAAGTGGTCACCCACCCGCACACTGAACACAGCCAGTCATGCTTGACTTAGGTGATCTGTTGGGAACTGCGTCTTAACGATCAGTCCACTGCGAGACATACTGTTCGTATTATGACATTCTATCAAATTAGTTAGTTACTCAAATTCATATGTTTAAGTATTAGTTTAATTGCTACATTAGAAATGTAGTATTTGCAAGAACAAAATTTTAAAAACATATATATAATAAAAGATTATTAAAGAAATTTTTTTACTTCATTTTAACACAGACTGATGTGGTTTTAAACCTCTGTCTCTGGAGAGAATTTTGTTCAGGAGACTCAATATCTTCATCCATTGCTTTAAAAAACACAGAACATTTATAAACATACAATTATAATACAAAAATATTAAAAGCTGAGTACTTATTAAAAATAAATACATGAATTAGTGCCTCTACATGATATAAAATTAATTTCAGTTAACTCAAAGAAACAAGTCGGAAAGCTTAACAAATTCAAGGATTTTTATATTTTTATATTAAAAGAACAACTTAGATAAGAAAAAATAATTACAGAAAATAGAAAATTAAAGTATTAAATGTGTAATAATAGTTCGGAAAAGATTCTTTTAAAATTAAGAAATTTTCTTGTTACAATACATAAATATCCTTAAATATTAAAAAATTTTGTCATTGAAATTGATTGAAATTAAAGATACACAACTACTTTTGAAAAGTGTTACGGTTAATATTAACATAATGTCTGCATCCAACGTTGTTTTGTAATTATAAAAATGCTTGAAGTATTAACACTTGACATATAATTTCTTTTAAAGTAATATAAATGAGTTTAAAAAGTATAATTAATCTTTTGCTCTGGAGCAGATAATAAAAAATATTAATGTAAATAAATTTAAACAAATATATAATTATTAGATTACAAAGCAAATTAGATTACATTTATAACAAACAATAAAAAAGGTAATTTAAATTTACATTTATCCTAAGAGTTTACTTTTCTTTATTATTGAGGAAGCAAAATTTGTTACTAATATGATATCAGATAGAGATGATTGTTGCTAGAATTCTGAAATTATAATTTTTTTATCTAAGTGAAAAAATTTTTTTCCTTCTCTTTCAGTTAATTTATATAACTTCATGAGCAATAACATTTCATTTCAAACTCTGAACATTAAGTAAAACTTTCATAATAAAATTGTCACACTACTTTGAGAAAAGCTTTAAACTTGCTCAGTAATTTTCTGTTACAGAGCATGACGGAAAAAAAAATTCTAATTTATTTTTCTATTATATTTTTATTAATATTTTACACAGTCAAGGGGCCACTTTTAACCTGGTGGGTCATAGATTGTACATCCCTTCTAAATAGATAAAAAAAAATTATTCTATTAACATTTCACAACAGGTTTTTTTTAAAATTCAAGTTAAAATAAATATCTTTATTGTTTATATTATATAGCAAGTGACATATTGGCTCGATGTTTAGATTATATTGATATTTATATTATATAGCAAGAATAAACACCGAAAAATATATATGCATCAGTTTTACAGTTTTCATAAGTCATTATAGTAGTGTAGTACAGTGCTAAAAAAAAGAAAAAAAAAACTAGCCATTTTTACATTCTTGGACTCAATCTTAATGGTTCAAAGGGATGACCTCAAATATGCTAATTAATTAGAGCAGACGGTACTTTAAGTTACTAAATCATACACAAAAACGTACTTTCTCTGAATAAACATAACTTTTTTACATAATTATTTAAAAGTATGTTATTTTACATAGTAAAATACAAAATTTGAACGAAATCAGTTTGAATTTTTCTTCAATTTTAAATATACAACTGTTTTAAAATTTGATTTCTCAGGAGCTATTAAACCGATTTCGCTCAAATTTTATATTTAAAATGTAAAATTGCATACTTTAAAATAGTGTAAAAAAATTTATATCTCAGAATTCAGAATTTTTTAATAAAACTAACTATTATTTAATAAAAGAATAATTATTTACTGAGAATTATATTTTGCATTGAATTATTTTTGGATAAAGAATTTTATAATTGCAGGCAAAAAATTTTCAATTCACTTAAAAAGTTCTTGAGATATGGTGAAAAACACAAAATGTAAAAAAAACTTTAAGGAGTCCAAACTTTGGATTAATCTCCTGACCAAACTATGGTGACCTTATTTTTTCAATTGCGTCTACCCCCTATATCTTGTGGGTCCGAAATCCAAATCCATTGAAAAAAAGATTTGTTTATTCAGAAAAAGTATTTTTTGTGCCTTGATTTCCTAACTTAAAGTATTGTCTGCACTAATTAATTAGCATATTTGAGAGCAGCCCCTCAAACCAACAAGAATGAGTTCCTAGAAAGTGAAGATCCAATCATTAGATCAAAAGTTATTCAGGGTGGTCCTTTCTTTTGGCATACTCAACATTAACTGGGCTCTTCATTTAATTAATTTAGTGGATTTCCTACTCTATTAGTTGATTTTACAAATTGGTTTTTAAATTCTTTGGCATTGAGAAATTTTGATTCATTACAAGCATTTAATGCTTATTTATGTAGCTAATGATGCATCTGCAACAATTTTTACTTTCAAAACTTCTAGCAATATTTAAAATTGTTTTATGAGATATCTGATTAATATATCGAGACACTGCAATATTTGTAAATCCTATTCACTTGTAATTTTACTGTCACAAAATACTTAAAAAGTATCACTAAACTGGGGAGTTTAATTCTAATGAAAATCATAAAGCAGGAAGGAGTCAATCTTTTTAATTATAAGCCTTGATTGAGCAAATTCCCAGGTATATTGAGGAAATTTTTATTAAATGGTTGTTTTTTGGTTAAAAAGCCAATAAAAAATTCTGTTATTAAGAAGATTTCTTCCAATTACTTGAAACTTTCTTATTAAAGCAGTAAAAAAAAAAAATAATAATAAGACTGTTTCTAAAAATTAAATCCTTTCAAAACTATTTAAAAATATCACTCTAAATTCATTTGTTCAAAAATTGGGGGATATTTCTACACTGGTATCGGTTAACGCGAACTAAAATTGCTAAGGAGTCCAAGACATTTTAAACTCAAAAATTTTTAAGGTTTGCCCAGGGGGGGACTACAAGGGGACATTTAATGTCGATCCCCTTTTTGTATATTTCATTAGTTTCTTGCAGGCCACTGCTCAAAAGTCGTCGAAGATATCAATATTTAAATCGCTCCAAGAATTATATGCAACTAAACAATAAAGGGACTTAATGGGTCTGAGTGTAGAATAGGGTGCCCTTTGGATTAGACACTATACCTTGAAGCTTTTATTGCAAATAAATTCTCCCATTTTTTCTATTCTATTTTGATTTCTTATAATCAGAATTATCTCATTTTAAAACCATCCCCCTCAGCTATATAAGAACATATAAAATCGTCAAAATAAATGAGGCATCCGATTATAAATTTTTTTCCACACAATGATGTGAAATTTCTCATTGCCTTGCCAAGGAGGTTCAAACAAGAAAAAATAAAGTCAAGGATTATTCAAATCAGTGAAAATATAAAAATATATCAAAGATGTGCATGACGCGATATGTAGTGAAATTAATGCAAAGTCTTGGAAACTTTCGGGCAGTGGCCCGCAAGAAACTATAAAAGCAAGAAATCACAGAAAGGGACCCAACTCAAAGTGCTTATAATACATTTGTTTTTGTTTTTAAATTGCAAAATTAAAATCTATTGTGCGCCTTTGCAACACATCACGATATCCCAAAATTATAAAAAGTAAGCCGTTTATTAAAACATTTTCAAGTTTATTTTTGTACAATCATAAGTTACAACTTTGATAATTTCATTTGATCCAGATTTAACAATTGCAGAAAAGTTTAATTGCAGCAAGAAATTTTTTTCAGAAGAAAGGCAAACAGTAAAATAAGCTAATAAGTACAGAGTAAAAAGAATTTAAAAGAAAATCGTGACAAACGTTGTTAGAAGACACTCCTTGTAAATAAATCTACAATAAATAAATATAACAATCATCCTAATGTCTGTTGATTATATAATACTACACAAAACTGAACCATAGTAAAATTATCATTGGAGAGTATACACAAAAGTTATAAATATTTACCAAAAAAAACGCAAATTATCCTGACCAACGAGGTAAATTTTGACCTTTTTGTATTTATTTTTATTCTCAATAATTAACGTTTTTAGCAGCCTATATTTGTACTATTTACCCTACTACGCACTTTGCTCGATAATCCTTGGCTGATAAGTTATGTTCTTCTGTCAAATGTTATACGATATTGAGTTAGTGCGCTCAATCCGATTTGACTCGGCTAATGTGGTCATATCGTTTTCTCACATGTGTGTGATTTAAGCAGCTTTTAAGTTTAACCGAAATAGGAAGTATATGTCTTTTGTATTTGATATAAAACAGCAAAAAATCTGTCCAGTTTTAGTTTTGTTATTAAATCCCGTTCTGCCCCTTTCCGGTAATATCTTTAACCTAGCATAAATGCCTTGGTAAAATGTAATTGTTTAGAAGAATTATAATTTCTTGCTTTGTTTCATAAGATTCAATAGAGTATTGTGTGCAAATTTACGGTCCTATACGAGATCTTCGTCTCATGTTTGTTTGGTTAAAGATGCGTCATTGTTTGTGTCTATTGTTTTCATTGAGGATCTGATTACTTGCTAAAATGACAAGCATACAATTTGATTATTCTACTTTATCGACTTCAATCAGTCGAAGTGAGTTAGGTTCTATCATAAATCGACACATCGTGGAGAACGAATATGATATTAACGAGGAAGCTAGTTCTGAAGGATCAAGTACTACAAACGAAATTTATGTCCATCCACCACCACCCGACAGGTAGTATTTGTTCATTGCAATGTTTTATTTCATACTTTAATCCTAGTTTATTTTAATTTAGTTTTTGTAATTCAGGTAATCTTATCCGCAAATATTTCTGTATAAGTACTTGCTCGCGCAAATTACAATAGCCTAAGCACCAAACGAAATTTAAACGTGTGAAATATTCGTTTGGGTGCCCTGCTGATTTTGAAATATGTTTACTCTGAAAACAGGGAAGATGATTTAAAAATGAGACTTTCTAATGATAAAATATCAAAAGTTAAATGAAGGAATTAAACATGCAATAAAAACTCTAAGGTAGGATGCTCAATCCAAGGAGCCTCCAATTCTAGCCTTTTGAACTTAATGATAATAAAAAATAAATGAATGAATATGTTGTGGTTTGCTTGAGGGTGGCTACGTGCGAGTTATAGATACTCCTTGAATTGATCTGGAAATCTTCCATTTTATACCCGTAGACCCCCTTTATACATAACCTATATTAGATTTAAAAAGTTTTTTTAATAGGGAGTGCAGTGTTATAACTGGTATATATATAAGTGTCACGTCAACTACAATCGCCAAGGTGCCAAATAGATTTAAAACTTGCAGATTTTTAAAAAAAAAAACATGTGGATGTTTGCCCGGGTGTGGCTATGAGTTATACCTTTCGAATTAGTTCCTTTCTGTGATGTTTTTTTTTTAAGTTTCTTGCAAGCCACTGCCCCGAGGTTTCAAAGACTTGACGATTATTCTGCCACAGATCATGATACGGAAATCTCCCCGTTATAACAAATTTTTCAATGGGATACACTAAAAATTCTAACATTTTGTGTACATCTTTTTATATCAAAAGTATTCTGCAAAAGCATTATTCAAAATTTTATTTTTAGCTGTATTTGTTTTATTTAAAATTCCGGAAATTATAAAAGAGGTTAAAAAAATTTCTTGTATTTACAGTTATAAATGGCAGGACTTGATGATTTAACCTGTTGATTCTAGGGCGGGGTTTTTGGTACACTGTGTCAACTGTGCTTGCATCAGCAAAAATTACTATTGTACAGTCACACAGAATTTTTACTTCCTACACAGTACTTTTTTTACTTATTATTATTTAACTTTAAAAGAGTAAAAAAAAATGATAAATGAAAATTGTAGCTAAAAAATTACAAAAATTAAAAACTTTAAAATAAATAAAAGTAAACTATCAATGAGAAAATGTATGAATGAATGAGATTTTATCGAAAAACCAGTTATTGTTTTCCTGCACCAGCTATTATTTCCCTACATACACTAATATTGGTATCTGCTCTGCAAAATTCAATGTGTTCTCATAATGTAATTACTGTCTTTAAAGTGAAATGCATTTCATTTCAAATTGTTAAAATCACATTCCAAAGTAAAATTATAAAAACTTAGTTAAAACTTCTTCTGGTGAGTAGTATTTTTATTGGAAAAATCACTGTTTGTAAAACAGGCTTATATCATTTTGAATATTTATATTAATTGAGATTTAATTTAAACATTATTTTCTCTTTAATCTTACTTAATATTTATTTTTTCCTCCACAGATACAAGCTGGTTTATTTGACTTTTGGTCTTCTTGGTATTGGAACTCTTCTCCCATGGAATTTTTTCATAACAGCAAATGATGTAAGGCTCTGTTATGGCTTTTGCATGTTAATAAATTTATTACCATTTTTAATTAACTTTTATTGTGTATTAAGTAGCTGAATATTATTTTACAATATTTACTGACTTTATTAAAACAACAATGAAAAAAAAATTAGGATAATTCTTGCATTATAAATTTTTGATTTGATATATATATATTTAAGTAAAACTATCCGCATGACTGTGATCAGAGACAATCCAGATTATTAATATTAGTTAGAATTTATTAATAAAATTCTCAATTATTTCTTTTGGTCTGCAAAAAAGATTGAAATATTTTATTGAAAAATGACTATAAAAAAGTATTTTTTTAATAATGTAGATGCTTTCTGTTGTGTTTTCTTTCTCTGATATTTTCCTGCAATTAAATCTTTGTTGATTTAAATTGCCTTTAAAATTTGTATGAAGCAAATTCTGTAACTTGTCTCTTTTTTTTCCACAAATAAATCTGAAAAACTAAATGTTCAGTATTATAATTAAATGCCTGCAGAGAAAAGTGTAAAAAACATAAGAAATCATAAGATGTTAAAGATTTTATAGTTAATTTTTTCTATAAAAAATTTATCTGCATGTAAAACTTAATAATATACAGTTAAAAAATTTAAATACTCATTCTGTTTGAGTATCATAATTTTGTGAGTTACCTATCCTTCTCTATGTTACTGATCTTAGACGAAGTCACTCTTCCTTTCCTAAATTAATCAATTTCAACCATAATATTTCAAATTGAATGAAATTTTTTAAAATTTTATTTAGGACATTATGAAATCATTTTATATACTAAAATATTTTGGTACATTAATTTTATTGAATTACTCAAGTATACAGCATTTTCATTATTTGAGTATCTCGCGAAACATTGATTAGGCTCGGCCATCAATACGCTACCTTCAATTGCAATTCTAGTTGTAGGAGAAAATGTGGCGTTAAATACAAATAAAAGGAAACTGATAAAAATGTTCTTGCTACTTACAGTAATTTAAGATTTCTTGAAATTCACTATCTCTAATATTTACTTACTTAAAATTATTTAGTTAATCCAACTATGCATGAAAAAAAAGTAGCAAATTGATATTTAATTTTACATATTATTTGTTGAGTAATTTTCATTGTTATGTTCAAAGGCCTTGCATTTCTCAGTACTGGGAAGTTGCTTTTTTAAAATTAATTACTTTAAGTACAATTAGTATTTTTATTTCTTTATTAGTTTTAAGTTAAAAAATAGGTTCTCTTTAATGGAGTCTAATTATGTATTTTTCTCTTAATTGCTACATACATTTTAAATTAATATTTTTTGAATTGTTCTGTGGTTAATTTTTAATCACTCTTTGTTTTTTCAGTTTTGGATGTATAAATTCAGAAGTACTACAAATACCACCTGTGTTCATACTTACAATAAAACTGACCTTCAAGCTGCTTTTACAAGCTATCTGGCTGTTGCTAACAATGTGCCTTATGTTATATTTCTCATATTATGCACTCTTTACAATAATAGGTAGTGTTACTGAACTTTGTTTTTGTTAAATATGCAAATTTAGGATAATATTTTGATTTTTGTAAATTTGATTAATTTTTTATATATTTTGATTAGTAACTCACTGCTATTCTTGATTTTCAATGCTAACTCACTGTTAGTAGTATTTGAACTGTATTTATCATTTTAAAATTCCCTATCAAAAGTATACATATATTACAAACCTTTTAAGCACTAGTACTTATAATATAAAATGTTTATGTGTATAATTAATTATATTATAATACAGTATTTTCATAAATAGTTTTTACTTTTATATATATAAGCTAAATGTTTGAAAAAAAGAAAAGAAATGCTAGTTTATTTAAATAAAGAAAAATATTTTATTTGTACCCTTCCTGATTTAGTTGAGGAATGTTTTTTGCTGCCTGGTAACAGGACTTGATAATAGAAAAGAGTTTTTGTACTGTTTGTTGAAAGTGAATAGATTATATTTTCGATGTAACAAATAAAATTTGTTGTTGCTGTAATCCTTCACAATATAGCCTCAGCTTTTTTATCAAATCAATGCATCCAAACACTCAGACAAAATCACACACCAAAATTTGTTGCAAGAAAATCTCCTCGGAAAATTCAAGGGTGTATTTGAGGGAAGCAGGTTTCAACTTGCACTTGCTACGTGTTGGGGAGACTTTGCTCTCAAATTTGGTAGTTAAGCTTTTTAAATGGCGACTGATGAATCCTGATACTTCCGTTTGAATGTATCTATCTCCCTTGAACTCTAGAGCACCTTTAGGGCATTTTCTACCAAACCAGTGATGAACAGGAAAAGTTAACCAGAGTTACCTGTCGCAGTTTTTCTTCACGAAGAAAATCTCTTGATAGGTATTAAGGTAGTCTGTTGCAACTTCAGTGTTGCCCCTTTTAGCCAGGCTCTCTGCAACTTCATTACAAGGAACACTAACATGTGATGGGATCCATTGCAAGTGAATAGCTCGAGTTTTTGTTAGGTATTTCAATTTGTCAATTATTTCAGTGCCCATACGGTCTGTAACTCTATTCCAGTCCTGTAAGTTTTCTAAGGAACAGTGACTGTCAGTGGGGATCCAGATAACACCAAAACATTTAATTCAAGAATGAACTTCAATCCTTCATGAATGATTATCAGTTCACTTCTGAATACTGAGCAATTACCTGGATTGCATCTTGAAATTAAGATGGAATGACTTTCAATCAAAATTCCTCTTCCAGTGTGATTTCATTCATTGTTACTACCATTAGTATAAATTTTAATTGAACTACTGTTTTTTACTGTTTTTTCTTTTGGAATGCTTTTGATTTCAAGGGCCGACTGTCGTAGGTGTTCAGGAATCTGAGAATTTTTTTGTTAGTTTCAGACCATAGTTCAAAATAAAGGAAAACTTTAGGTAAGCCTTCAAGCTGACACACACATGGCTTCAGAGAAGAAGGTTCCACTGGATGGTTAAGGACCTTCATTTTATCCGCCCGACTAAAAGGGCTGTTCTTCTTTAATTGTTTTTCCATTCACAACAAATAAGTATTCTTGCTAAATGAAATTGGCTGATTTGATTCTGCTAAAAAAATCTGATAACTTTACATTACTTAATCCATTTTCCCATTTATATAGTTCAGCACTTCTGCTCTAAAAGATTGTCATACTTTGTGCATTATTCCAAATTTCAGGGTTCATTGATGAAAGTGGATAAATTAAAATGATAAACCTTTGCAATCTGAAGAGTTAGATTATAAGAAATGGATTCAGTTCATTATTCCTTTAGATAATTAAGGTACTATTGAATCCAAAAGTAGGATAGGATGCTGCATAGACTAAAGCAATGTGAATTAAGTTTAATTAAAATGGACATGCAGTAGTTTTGGTTCTATAAGCAAAAACCTTTCACAGTGTCTGAACACCAAATAGACACAGAGGGAGGTTCTTGCTTATAGAACTAAAACTCTAGAATTTTCATTTCTATTCTTAATTTGTTCTTTATTCACATTATTTTTTGTTTTATTCCTATTGAATGATAATTTTTTTCTTATTTCATGTTAATAGCTTTTCAGTTTATACTCCAGTAATTTGTTTGTGTTTTCTAGGCTATCTAAAATGCTCCGTATCATCATGCCCTTAATTGTAATGTTCATTTTATTTGCTACTGTCACTGCGTGTGTGGAAGTCAACACTGATAGCTGTGAGTTTTTTTCTTCTTCTATATACATGAGTATACTTTTTTTTAAAAAGCAAATATGCAATTACTTGTTATTTTGATGCATAAAAATATTTCCTTTCTTAATTTAGGGCAGATGGGCTTCTTTTCTTTAACCATTTTAATCATCATTATCTTAGGAGGTAAGTATGCTGTATATTTTGATTAAATTTTAAAGATACTGTTAATGCTTTTGTTAAATGCATGGATTTTGTGATCTGTCTTTTAATTGTTGATTGCAATAAAATAATAACATAATTCACAGCAGTTTTAAATTAATGTGGCGCTTTTAGGCTGTATCTTATAGTTATTGTAATTAAATTAAATAAAGGAAATTTACTTGTCTTAAATTTAAGCAAATAATATTTTATTTATAATTAAACCGTTTTAACATTAGCATTTACAATTAAACCAACTTAGCATAATAACATTAGTGCTTACGTTCTTTTAGAATAGATGGAGAGAGAGACTTACCAAGTTTATTCATGGTGGTTTACTTTAGGTATCAGCCTTGAGTAGACTCACTTTGATTACTCTCCTAAGTCTTTCCTTTGGCTGCTTTTATATCCTTATTTTGTGCTTGATAAAAGGTTACAAATTAAGGATAGGTTAAGTCCAAAAGTTATTGTTGTTTTCGAGTTAGTACCATGATGGGGGGGGGACATTGTAACATTTTAACCCAATTGTTTATTTGAATTACTCTATCCGTATTTAAGTTACTGTTTGCCGATGGAGATTTCCGACGGTAGTTTTATTTAATCGAAAACTTTGAGATGTCCTAGAAATCTAATTTTAGTCCTTTCTCATGATTTTAATTTTGAGTGACGATAATTGTCACATTAACTATTAATTCTTCCTTGTCAAAAATTATCATGAAGTGGGTATTATATAATATAAAGTATTATGTTAAGTGAGTAAATATGAGTGGGGACCCTGATATAAGGAAAGAATTGCCTTGATTTGTATGTTTTCGTGAAAAGTGCATTCCATTGTATTCCCAATTTGAAAACTTTTCTTGATTTATAATGCAATAAATTGACTTAAGTTACATTTTGCTTTATCTTTAGGTTTATAAATATCAAAAGTTATAAGTATTGTATAAATGAATTATCTTATCTGTACTCTTTTGCAAGTTAAGAAAAAGCCCTTAGCCCTATAGAAAAATCCTGTTTGCATCTAAGTGTACACGAAATGGATGCCATGCTTCCAGCATGATTAAATATCAATATCGTCAACTCTTGAAACGGTGCTGCAATCTTTTTTTTGCTTGCATTCTTAAATCATGGGAAATGAGAAGAATAAAACTTATTGAAAAATCAATTAACAAGTACAGTAGGGAACCTCCGGATAACTGATTTTTCCGGTTTTCTGAATCGCTACAAAAAGCCGTTTTTTTTATTGTTAAACCCAACTAAAAAAAAAAAAAATTTAGAAATAATCTTAAAAATAAGAAAAAACGCTGAAGTAATACACTAATGATTATTTCCAAATGATGGTAAGGTAAACATCGTTAAAAAAAGAAAGAAAAATCGTAAAATCTTATGAGGAAAAAAAATTTTTTTTTTTAAAAATGGCGAGAAAATTTATCGAATTTCGTTTCGGTTTTTTGGTTTTCCGGTTTTCTGATTTCCGGATAACGGGTTCTGTACTGTAATAAGAATTAACAAAAATTATGTATTCAAAATCGTAACAAATATACGCCTTTCTGTTTGCATTTAAAGAAACTGATGAAAGATTGATAAATAGTGTTTCCTGCAGATGATTTTCTTCTGCAGCGTAACATTGGTAAAAATTCTTTATCTCGCATTTGATTTGTTAAAGGCATGTCATCATTAGATGCACCATTTTTAGTGGTCCAATTAAGTGCAATGCCCTAGCAACATCATATAGTTGTTTCTTTTTCAAGAACGAATGTTCTCCTTATTTATCGAAATAGGATTCCAGTAAGTCTGGATTTCAGTAAGACTACGAAACTATAACTTTTTTTTAAAAATGATTCTATGATATGTATCCTAAAAGATAGCACAAATTAAATTTCTCTCTGATGTGTTTAAATTTTAAAAGCTGTTGTATTGTTTTTTGAAAGCATATTTGAATAATTTGATCACAAAATAAAAGGAAACTATATGCCATCTCGGATGATTACTTAAACCTTATACCACAATGGTCTTTTCTTAACTTGTAGCGCAGTATAATAATGATGAGGATTCCAAGGAAACTGTTCTAATATAGCATTGTTCCCATTTTTGTTTATTTCTTTAATGTTCATATGTATGTTTTTAATTACAGTTGTAAGTGCACTTTTGAATGCTGGAGTGACTGGTGTTGCTTCTCTTCTTCCTGCCAAATATATGCACATTATGGTATTAGGACAGGTAAAAGAATTTATCAATTCTTTATTTATTGACTTATGTGACTGAGAACTTAAACTATTCATTAAACCTTAATTAGCTTACTATTTGAACATTCAAAATTAGTTATTGCATAAAGTCTTGTAATATTACCACATATGTTTATTATAATTAGATTGTAATTTGTTTCCATAATTATTATTCTTGGCAGTTAGCAGGAAATAATTGTTTCATCTGATGTCCTAACTCAGACTTAGTTTGTCTATAGTAATTAGAAAGATGACTTAATAGGAACATTTTATCACTATAAGATGAAAAGCCCTATCTCTAAAAAACAAGTTTTGCAAATATTTCATCTGCATTAAGTAATGGTTAGGGCCAATGTAAATTTCAATATTACTCATCATTTTGTCAAATTCGGTGTTTTATGATGTCGTAAAAGGATGTTGTATATTTTTACTCTATTTTAAAAATGCTGCAAAAAAGCTGGGAATTACAGCCTTGTAATAATCTATCAGGACAAGATATGGGCTACTCAATAATATCTCCTACACTACTCTAGGTTTTTTGGGAATAGCTTAAATATTTTTGTGTTAAACAGATATTTACTTATAAAACATAGAAAAGCACTCTATATGTGTTTCTTTCTTATTTATACATCATTTCTTTTTACTGCCAGCTTATTTTTAATCTATGCAATAATAAAATAGTTAGTTTGTACCACGAGAAATAGTATAAATTATCAATTAGACTTCAATTTTTAAGTATGTAACCATTTGACTAGAATTGATGAAACTCTAAATAAGGCTGTGAAATTTTTTTTCCTTAATTACAACTGAATGAAGGTCTAAAACAGATAGAGTTCAAAATTGAGGGGGGGGGATAATAATTTCAAGGTTACTAGACATTTGTATAAAAATAATGAAATATGCTTAACACTATATAGGTTAATATGGATTTCTTACGTTTCGGAGCACAATCTTTATTGACATTCTTACAAATTTAAAAATTTCTTGAAAATGCCGAACTAACTGGTGCGAAATTTGCAAAAAATAAAAAAAATAATGAATATCCCAGTTTTTTATTTTAAAAACTGTTATCTGTGAACAAATTAAAATCTTGGATCAAGCTGTAGCTAGCTAAAATTATTATGTGTGAAAAAGGACAAATTTACTGATATAGAAAACATTTTAACCAAATTTCCATGCAATGAAATATTCTTATTCTTTCATGCAATGAAGAAATATGCCTCAAATATTCTTGTGAGTAGACATTTGTGTAGTCCAGTTGTGAATTAAAGTCATATTTCTTTTTCTTCTCTTTAGAAACAGGTATTTTGATCTGAAATTTTAGTGACTGCCACTTCTATTATTTTCTATATCAATAACATTAAGTGAGAAATTTTTTTTGCTAATAGGTTATTAAAATTATTATTATTATTTTTTTTTTGCAATGAATTTCTATTTATTTGTTAATTTTTAGCTACATTTATACATCAATTTATATATGTTCCCTAAAAGACAAATAATCAGTACTTAATTCTAATTATGTAAATTAGTAAAATTGTTATAATTGTAAATTACATAAGTTTAAGTTTGTTCATGTATAAATTGTTCTGAAATATAAAATAATTTAAGTTATGTAAGTAATGTTTGGTTATTTCCCAAATGAAAAATTTATTTTAGGCTCTTGCTGGTGTTCTTGCTGCTGTATTTCAAATTTTGTCTCTGCTTGGTCACTGTGATTCTGTCAAAAGTGCCCTTATATACTTTTTTGCTGCTGATGCTGTCATAGTTTTCACTTTGATTGCATATGGTGGTATTCAGAAATCAGTAAGTATTTTCAAAGTGAATTGAAATTTAAAATCAATTATGATTTATGCAATTACTTCAACAAATTAAACTTTTGACTATGAAGATTCTTAATAGCAATTCAGCATGAAATTTAAAAAGTTATTAAAAAAAATTTTAGCTCTACAAACTATTTACTTGAAAAAAATTCTAACTGATTTAGTGAGAATAAATATGACTTTGAATTTTAGTCACAAGTAACTTTGTATTTTATTCTACGTTGTGGTAACAAATTAGCTTACTAGTTTTTGTTTTTTTCTTTTAACTTTTCTACTATTTTTTTCCCATTCAACCTGTGGTGTTATGAATTGGATTGGTATTAGAATTTCTATATTTGATTTCAAACTTTGGGTAATTAAATAATTTAAAAGTGATTTTAAAAAAATTAGAATATAAGAAGACTTAAGGTTGTTGCAAAATTATGTTTAACTGCACACGGCAAATAATATATTAAATAAAAATAATAAATAAATATATAATACCAATATAAGTCAAAACATGATTTAAGCTTTGTCTTAATTTTTATAAGAAAACAGTATGAAGTAAACTCTTCTGTCTCTTAGTTATAAACAAAATATTTATGAATAGGCTGTTTATTATAATACAAAACCTGTACAAAAATTATTAAACTCCTGTTAAAAACTATTATGATAATTTAGGTTAAATATGAAACTGTATTAGTAAAATAAATTGAGCAATTTTAAAATGTAATATAATTTTTATGATATTTTAGACATTCTTCATTCATCACATGTGTACTATAAAAGGTAAATAAAAATTTATTATATTAATTATTTTATATTTATGTAACATTATCCAAAAGTATTATTATTTTTCTTTGATTTCAGACGCAACTGTTTTGAAAGATGTAGCTGAGCCTCAAATAATGACAAATCTATCTATTTTTGTTCTATTGAAAATGGTAAGTATATATTTTTTAATTTCAGTAATAAATTTATATCTTTAAAATTATTTAAAAAATTTTTTTTTAAAACAGTGTAATGTAAAACATTTGTAGTGACCTATTTTTGTGTCTAATTTTGATCTTCATTCCACCGCAGTTTAAATATCAAAATTTTATAAAAAAAAATACCATGAATTCAGTTGTGTATTTATATTTGTACTTTGTGAACTTAAAGAAATTATTTTGTTGTTTCTTTTTGCAGATACTTTGTCAATTTAAATTAGTATATTTAGAGTAGAATTTTATTTACAATTTTGAGATTTATAATGATAAAAATGAGAGTCTAAACGAGGAGGGCGAAAAGGACAATGTCATAGGGGCAGTAACTCCAGAAAATGTAGAGGGCAGACCTGATTAATAAATCAAAGCTTATCTTCATTTTTTATTAGGCATTTTAAAAAAATTGAATTTTTTAATGTGATTGAAATACTAATTTCAACTCTTATAAAATTTACCTTTAGAGAACAGATGTAAGGTGTTCTTAATATTGTAGAAATTTTACAAATCTTTTTTATTTTATTTATTTATTTTTTTGAACAAAAAGAAACTTCTTACTTTTACACTTTTTACTTTTGCACTATATTTTTTTACAACTCCTGAGCATCTTCGATCGTTGCTAACGAAAAAAATTTAAATAAAATATTTCTTGACTGTTTTAAATTCATGCTATTATGCATTTATGAAAATGTACATACGTTTCATAATTTTTTTAAAACTTCAATTAAGACTTTCTTATTAAATGTCATACTTTTAGCTGTTTTAACACCAATGGCCTAGATATAAAAATAAATGGTTAACTAGCAAAGAAATATTCTAATGAAAATAGGAATGAATTGTAGTTATCTAATTAAATTTCTTTAGCTTCAAACAGTTTAATAATTATCTTAATCATTTTTTTGGAAATCATATAGTTTTGAAAGTAGCAAAAAAGACAGTAATGTGTATTAGAGCCAAGAATCTTGTATCTGTACCTTAACAATTTTCAGAAATGTGTGAATATAAAAAAGGCAATTTATTTGAGGCAACTCAGTAATTTTAAGTGCTTCTTTCTTTTCCCCTAGATTTGGCCATATGCTGTATCTGTCTTAATTACTTTTTGGGTCACTATTGGAATATTTCCTGGTTTATCTGTACTTGCATTGCCAGAAACTCATGATTCCTTATGGGGTGGTATGTATCATATAGTTATCTGTTTATAACTATACATTGATCTGTGAATAGGAAAATTGCATATTTTTCTGATAACATCGATTGCAAATAATAATCCGCAATAAATTAAAATTTCTTTCGCTATCTGCTAGATTTATATGACTACTTTTTATTGTATGTAACGAAAAATTGTCTTTCATTTTTATGTGTACAATTTTTTTATGAATAAGTAAGATATTAATATTTATTATTAATAGGAGTATTTTATCATTCTTCAAAACTTACCAGTTAATACTCGTCTAAGTAAAGTACTTGAAATAGATTTTGTTATTTAAACTCAGAATAACTTTAAATTAACAAAATAGATCTGAATTTCTCTCTAATCTTATAAGTCTGTGTTTTGTAGCAAAATTCATTTAACTACAATAAGGTATAGTATTATAAGGTGAATTCTGTATATCACCACATGTACTGTTTATCTGTGTATAATATACTATGTTTTAAGCTGTGTTGCTATAACATTAATTTAGTTTTGCCTCAGAAAAGAAATGAATAGTAAGATATTTATTTTTTACAATTTTTTACTTTCTTGCTAATACTTCAAAAAAAAAAAAAAACAATAATTGATTTTTTTAGTGTCTGTTTTTATAAATTCTTAAACAAAATCAGAATAGATTGTCTATTTATTTCGGTTTTAAATTTAAGAAGTAGGGTGTGTAGTTTTAATGTGGTTTTTGGTGTTGTATATATAGATCTTTTTTTTTTAAACTTTTACCCACGGGTACTAGGCTTTGAAACTTATTATAACAAAAAATAAACTGATTGATCAAATTAATTAATAATTATTTTGTATTTTTTCTGAACATTTCCATCTAAGTGTGATTTTGATTGTTGCATTTATGTTACACATTCTAGGTAAATTGTTTTTGCCCCTCACTTGTTTCTTAATGTTCAATGTCAGTGATTTATGTGGTCGTGCTGTGGGAGGTTGGTTGCCTGTGGTGAGTATCTGTGTGTTTTACAAAATAAAATTATGTTTTAATATTATATTATTAAGTTAATAAATATTTCTCTTGTGTTTATTTTTCTTTCAAATTACTACTCTTCACTATTTTTTGCATTTTAATAGTATTTCTTGCATTTCTTGGTGACTTTATATTAAAATTAGTCTGAGCAAATTTAGATTAAGCATTTTTAGAAGTTCAACATTTCAAGATTCAGTATTATTAAGTTCATAAATTTAAGATTATCTGTATTCACTATCATTTGCATGATGTAATTAATCCCCCATGATTGTTAAAATTTAAGACAATCGAGCAATTTTATGACTAATGTAAACTTAAAAATTCAATATTTTATCCCAATCATAGTTTTTTTTTAGCTTAAGTAATTAAAGTAAATAATTAAAATAATCCCTTTTTTTTCTTTAAAGAATATTCTTTTTGTGACTCTGCCAAGAAAAATTGACAATTTTATTTTTAAAATGATTAACTGTTAAAAAAAATTGTTTTGAAAAATAAAATAAAAAATAAGCATTTGAAAAAAATGATTTAAGAATTGCTAAATTTGTATAATTCAGTAGTGAAACGTAAAATAGTTTTGTTAAATAGTATTTTTGCACATTTTACGTATGTAGCAAAAACTTTAAGATTGTAAAACTATTAAAATACTAAAAAACTCCCAATGTTAGTAACCTTACTTAATCTAGTTTCTTCCCTTTATCCCAATTCTTTTACATGTTTTAAAATCATTAGCATTTGAGAGTAAATTCAATTACAGTTTCACTGTAAAATCTTTTTATAAATGGGTACAAATTAAAAAAATATTTAAAATATTGTTTCACATGTGTTTATTAGAGAAAAGATTTTTTTTGTTGAAACGTCTATGAAAAGATAAGCAGATTAGGGCAGTCAAGATATAAAACTAATGTGTGTTTATGATAATATTACCTTAATCTTTCTTAAACATGTCTTTTGCAGCCTCAGTCTAGACGAATGCAACTACTTTCAGCATGCATTTCTAGAATTGCATTTTTTCCACTCATCATGTTGAGTAATCTTCACCCACGTCGTAACTTGCCAATTATATTTCCCAGTGATATTTACTTCGTTGCATTTATGACTTTGCTCGGTTTCACAAATGGATATTCTGTGGCATCTGCTTTGCTAATAGGAGTGAAGTAAGTATTTTTACTTTACTTCTTTCTGAAAAAAATAACACTTTTAATTATACATTAATGATCTACTGTTGTTTTCAAATATAACTGTACCAAATACACTGTGGGAAACATATCCTTTGATCTTTTAACTTTCTAGGCATTTATATCAACCCTTCTTATCTTTAAGCTTTCGGCCTTTCTGTAATAAAGAAAAATTTCTGCCATATTACTTTATGAGGAAATCGTTTATAGTTTAAAATATTTGCAAATTTTTTTTCTGGGGCTGAAATACAGGATTAATTTAAAAACCTTTTACACAAACTATGTAGATAAAATAAATTTTTCTTCACAATGCTATTTCCAAGAGCACTTATTGCTTTTATGCATATAGTAAAGGTATTGGTTTACGATGTTAATGGAAAACTGAGAGTTGTAAGTTCTATCTTTTTGGCCTGCTAAACAATTGCAGCTAGGTGCTGGTTAAATCTGTTGTGGCTTAGTCTCCTCCTCGGTGTGGTGTGAAAGTTATGAGAAAATGTCACCAAATTCTGTCCAGGATCAAAATCAGATAATATCATGGAGCTCTGAAAAAATTATTTAAGGTGCTTGGTTATGGTTAGGTGGTGTTTCTGGGCTATTTTAAAGATTAATTTTCCTTAATTTATTGTTGGCTTTATTGAAAATCAACACAATTTAAAGATAATTTTTCATTAAATATAGATGTGTAACTAACTCTTTATATGTGCCATGTATGTATACCTGTTTCTATTTCCTCCGAAAATTTTCAAAAAAAAAATTTATATATATTATTTAAGTTTGAACTTTGATTTTCTTTTCTTTTTATATTTTTGTAGGAAATAGCTTTTAATTTTAATTTTCAATAAATTGTGTTTTTTTTTTAAAAAAAAAAAAAATGCAACGACTGAAAATTCATGTTTTGTTTTTTAGTATATGTTATTTTTTAGAAAAGATTAATAATATTTTTTGTAAAAAGAAGAAAAAAAATTTTTTTCTAATTTTTAAAATAAAATAATTTTGTAGCAAGCTCCAAATTCTAATTTTCATTATTTCAGTAAAACATTAATCTCTCAAAATTAAGCTGAATATTCTTCAATAGCTGATGGAGATAATAAAAAATACTTTTGTTAGCCTTTTTTTGTATTTTTGCAAGTTAACAAAAGAATTTCCCTTTTAGTTTTACTGGGATTAGATAATTAGATTTGATTTATTTAAGTTTTATATTAATGTATATATCTTTTTTTAGGTCAGTGAGTCCATCTTTACAAGAGCAGGCTGGAGTTATTCTATCAGCTTTCTTGGGTGGTGGTCTTATGCTTGGGGCATTTACTTCGTATATATGCATACAAATTATCTAATTTATTTTATACTTAAAGCAGATTTTGTAAATATTTTGTTATTGAATTGAGAATAATCTTTTATTACATGAACTTTTGCATTTTAAGAGCTTCATATACTTTTCATTTGATCTGTTCTTTCACATATTTATTACTGTATAATTGAGATTTACATATCTTTTTCTCTCACTTATCTAAAAGTTTAATATTAAATATCTTTTTGTAATATATTTACTTTATTGTAAGAAAGATAATTTAAATTTAATCTGCTTAATGTATTACTAAAAGTTTGCTGGTCTGTATTTTATATATGTATTTTAAATCAAAACTTACATTTTTGGATTATTACATGAACTTTTGCATTTTAAGAGCTTCATATACTTTTCATTTGATCTGTTCTTTCACATATTTATTACTGTATAATTGAGTTTTGCATATCTTCTTCTCCCATTTATCTAAAAGTTTAATATTAAATATCTTTTTGTAATATATTTACTTTATTGTAAGAAAGATAATTTAAATTTAATCTGCTTAATGTATTACTAAAAGTTTACTGGTCTGTATTTTATATATGTATTTTAAATCAAAACTTACATTTTTGGATAAATTCGTGTGTGTCAAACTTTTGTAACTGAGTACAATTTTATACATTCCCACCTTTTATTTGTATTATCTCATTTTAATGTAGTTTGCTTAGCATTTATACATATAGTTTGAATATAAATAAAGTTTCAATTTTATTGTCCATGCAATGTAGAATTTATTATTTATGTTGATACATTACTCTACTCCATTGTAAAACCATTTGTGAAACTTTATTTAATTGTAATTTTAACCGTAAAGAATGTTACATTCCCCTATAGTTACACGCTATATTTTGAATGCAATTCTTACAAGTGAATCCTCTTCTTTTGGTGCAGAAACAGATCGTTTGAGAAACTTTGAAATAGTATTTTCCATGGTGTACTTGAATTAGCCAAATTTTTGATGAAAATCCAAATCAATTGAATTTAGTCATTCACTGCACATATCAATTAACTCCATAGTAGAGGTCGGAATGGTCATCCTTATTCCTTCACATTGTTCTTCATAAATTAAAAGATTTTTCAAATTTATATGAAAGCAAAGATTTATTTAAAAATAAGAATAATTGTTGATGAATTTTTGAGCTAAGTCTGAATTCTAAAAGCAACCACCACTCATCACTGTCATGTCATACACACCACCATTATATTTCTCAGCACTTTAGGTTTTAAAAACCGCCTGTTTAGCACAATATCTTGTTTTAATTTCTGTTTTTCCATATATATGGGAACCAACATTAAACAAAACTTTATTCTGGCATGCTATTGTAAATTCTTACTTCTCCAATGTCGTTAAAGGTTATGTAAGAATTTGGAATAGCACATTAACTTTTAGTTATAAATGACTTTGTAAGTTATTTATGAGCTTTAAAAATATCCAATTTTAGTAGGAAGTAATAAAAATACATCTTTTATTTGACCATTATGGGGCACCCACTATGATCTGTTTGTATTGGCAAAATATGTGTGTACCATATTTTAGGTCATTTCTTGATGTTTAGAGCCCCACCCAATATAATTTACTGCTTTAATCTACAGGATGTAAAAAAGTTTGAAAACGGTCAAATATCTTATGAAATATACATTGTATCAAAAAAGTGAAAGACACATTCTATATTTTTCTAAAAGTTATACATTTATATCAAACTCTAATCTTCCACATTCTTCCCCTGTGGCAGGAAGGGGCAACATTGAAATCTTAAGTATGAAGCCCTAATTTTTATTGCTAATTCGTATTCTCCAGAAAAAAGTAACCCTATTTGAGCTATAGGTTTACACAATTAGCCTCATAAATGATACTGAAACCAAGAAAATTGAAATACGATTTTTAAGGAGAGCAGGGCACATAAAATGGACTTCAGAGCTAGAAATTCATAGGTGAGGTTTCAATAATTGTAACAATATGAAAGGAAAGCACCAGACTTTAAAAAAAAAAATTTTTTTTTTGGCATCAGTCAAATCTTTATTCATTATTATAAATTTAGCTCTTTTTAATTTATTTACTATTTAGACAAATTTGCACTAAATTTTCCTTAAAAACCATAGTTATATAGTCATAGTATCTTTATTAAGAAGGGTTTCATTCTAAATTCAGATTAGGTAAGAAAGATTAAAGAACAAACAAAGGACATAAATTGTGTAATAAATGTACCTTTTCTTAAAAAAAAAAAAAATTTGAGTTTCCTATATTTTAAAAGAGTATATATATATTTATACATATAGATTTATTATCTTTTAAAAAGATGGGAAACTCAATTATGAATAAATATAAAGATTTTAAAAATAAGGTTATCTTGGAGACAGTCTAGGGTTTTGGACTATGCTCTTTACGAAAACAATTTGCTCTACAATATGCATGAGCATCACGATTTTACTCAATGCACAAATTATAAGTCTGAAAAAACTTAACAATTTTAAAAGAATATAAATGTTTTCAAATATTTTTTTTCATTCTATGATAAGGAAGTGTAAATTAGCCAGGAATAATAGTTAAACTTTTTACCTCATTCTTTCAGATTTTCGAAATTACTAGTAGTCAGATTTAGTTTTTATTTTCATATCAAATAACTATTTTTCTTAACTATATTAATAAAAATATCTTTCTGCGTATATTTCAAACGCCTAATTATACAAATATTTGTGTATAATTGACATAAAAATCATATCACTTTCATAGAAAATAGATACTTTGTATCAGTAATTAATGCAAAGTCAAGACAAATTATTTTACACTTGACTTAATTCTTTTTACACCAGATAGCACACAAAGCTATAAATTCTGCATTTCATCTCTACTGATAAAAAGTTGCTTATTGCAATCCTCCAACTGGAATATCATAGGATGTTTCTTCCCTTTAATATTATTTGGGTCGTTCTTAGTATGTCCCATCTTCGTTGTTTAATTTATAGTGTGATGGGTATATTATTTGTTTTGTAATAGAATTAGCTATTTGTGATTTTATTTAGCCCGTATATCTTTAAAATTCGTCTAACAAACAGTTTGTCCGGTTCACTAAAAAATGTGAAAAATTCATCATTTTCATTTTGTTCTTATCCAATTCCATGTTCACATTCAGTTGCTCGCTTTCTCACTTAGGAATTCACGTCTCCCATCAAAATTAGAAGATTGTGTTTTAGGGACTTCGAACTTGTTTTTTTTGTAATTGATTATTCAACTCTGTTTTTATTTACACATCAGCATCATTAGTTGGTGCACACAACTGTATATTTGTTACCTTTGTGCAGTTGGAATAGAAGTTAACTCTTTTGATTAGGGTGTTTACCAGTTCACTTTTTGCTTATAATAATGGTGCTATTCCTTTATTTGAGTTTTGTTTCATCACCTAAAAAGGTTTTACAGTAATTGTCATTTTTATTTTTCCTAAGTCAGTCTAGATTGCCTCTGCAATACAATATTTAAATACCTTAGTTACTCATTTCATTTGTGACCTAGTATCTTGTTTTGCCGATCTTGAACATGTTGTACACATTTCATGTTCCAATTTTGAGCCCAGTAAGTGTTTTAAACCACAAGTTGGGTTCTTTGTGGCTAGGCCTCACTTGCATCATAGTAGGTTCCTTTAGAATATTGACTACAATATTAACGAAGTAGTCACCTGTAAGGAGACCACAGATTTGTGCTTTACTTTGCTATCTGTAAATGATGCTTTTTTAAAATAAAAAAATTTAATGGGCATTTAACCCATTGCAGTTCCTTCCTCTTTTACTGAAGCTTAGGACCAGCATAGTGATGGGCAAGCCCATTCTATGGCAGATTATCAATTTTTAACTAAATTTAAATAGGTGGAATGTTTATAGACTATATTATTTAGTTTTCAGAATGATTTAAATACTATTTTAAGAACGAATACTTAAATTTTTAAAATAATTCAAATACATGTTTTCTATCCTTGCCAAAAAGTAAAATAAACTATCCAAGAACATAATTTCGCATTTTTATCCAGATTGATTATTTTGGATACAAATATAGTCAGTTTTTTAATACAGAGGTAAATTAAACGGATAATCTAATACAAAGTTGGACATGATTTGATAAATTTTACACTACAGCAGCTAGCAGCTTAATTTTGAGAGACAAATCCAGTTATGTTTTGGTAACACAAAAAATAATCACTTTATTTAATGCATTTAGAATTGTCATCTTATAACTTAGTTTCAAACCCATTTTCCGAAAAATTTTAGTCACAAATAACACAAAACATAAAAAGTTTGAAGTACTTTACTTAAATTAGTATAGTTTTTACAATATCACAAAGAAAACCATATATAATAAAATACATAATTAGTAATTACAAAAATAAAAACATGCTTTAAGTAAAAACTACACTTATCAGGAATAACACAAGCTGCACCATTCCAGGGTGGGAAGAACAATCAGAGATACTTTTCATTGAAAAGTGGAAAATATTTGATAAGAACCTTATTAACACAAAATATTTACAATAACCTAGAAACTGGATAAGATATCTCAAATATGTTACATTATCTTACAACTATATACAAAGAGCTTCAAAAGTTACCAAGATGTATTATATAATGAGTAATTATCCACTAGCTGGGTACTAATTGAAAATTCCAGTGCCAAAATGGTCACCAAGTTTTGCAAGTATCAAGAAGAATACAACTAAATTTTGTTGATTAAATTTTTTTGTTCTTTATTAATATTTCTTTACTACATGCTTATTTTCTTTTTTTGCTTACTAGCCGGACAGGAGACTGATCGTAAGACACGGATCTCTGAACAGCGTCGAAGTTCAGCATTACTGTTAGCAGCCAGTGAGAAGATTGGCGTTTGACAAGTCTGCGGAGGGACTGAGGGTGCACGATTGGTAGTGTGACGTGACTATATAAAAAATAAAAGGGTTCTAAAAACCATAGAAAGTTTAATAGCAATATTTGCTAAAAAAAATTACTGAAACATTACTTAGAATTGAGATAGAAAACAGTGCATTAAAAGATGACCACTTAAATGCGGTTTATCCTTGGTAATTCATTAATTCTCCCTGAAGACAACCATGGCTTAATTTATCTTTGATTCCTTTGTTCTCGAAGTTCATTTTGAGCTCTTAAATCTACATAAGAAAAATAACTTTCCTCTTGAATGGGAAATCTGGGCGAGAAAAAATAAGAAGTTGATGGTAAGAGAGAAATAAATGTTTTGTTTAAAAGATTTTGCAGATGTTATGCAATAAAAATTATAGATTAGCAGCTGTCCCTAGAAAACTTCATCTGAAAATAAATTTTTGATTTTCAGAAGCAGGGCTCGTACTAAGGATTTCATATTATTAGCCAGTAAATTAGTTAAATACAAAAGTATTCACCAATTTTTAAAGTCTTTGCCAAATGCAAATCTTAACAATTTTTTATGATCAAATTTTTTCAACATAGAAAACTATTTTACAGTAGTTTGTTTTAGGCTAATATTACTTGGACTCAATTCTTATTGGCTATGCGGTGCATCTACCCAAAATGAGTAATCGAATAATTTAATACTGACTTGTTCAGAAAAATTCGTTTTGACGTAAGTTTAAGGATCGAGTTAAATAAATATTTTTCTTTCCAAGGGAAAAATCATTCGCCAAATTTAAGATTTTATCGTATTTAGCGAGGGGAGGAATGCAGATCGGCACCAAACTACTATAGTACAATGTAAATAAAGTAGTAAGTACTGCTACTAATTTTATTTGCTTGTATTAAAACTCAAATAAATAAAATTACACCACGGTCAAATAAATAAGTTGATGAATAAGCTTAGTCATTTTCTTCTCGTACCAAGCTAATGGATTAGTAACTCATAATGGAAATAAAATATTACGAAAATCTTCATTTTTTTACTAATGGAAAAATAGTTTAAGTAACTGCGGTAATAATGGAATTAAAATACATGGTACAGTAAAAAATTAGTAATTAACATCACAATTTTAACACATTAATATTAAATGGCAGTGTATTGCAGAAGAATGTTACTTTGATGTGGACCCATAACTACAATTTATTATCACTAATAAATGTCAATCACTTTACTTTTCCAGAAATAAACATGCTATTAAAAGAAATTGCAAACTTTAGTAAATAAACTGAAAATTTCGCACTAAAAAGAAAATAAATTTGTTGTTATAGAACCATGACCAGTATTAACAGTAGCATAATATAAACAACTCTCATCTCATTTATTAAAGATAAAATATTAAAGCATGGTACATGTTACACTTACAACTTTATACAGAGAACTCCAAAGTTATAGCTTATAATTCATTTATTATAAAAAAATATTTGGAACATTTTTTAAAATTAGTTTCGGAAAATTGATTTAAAAAACCCCCAACTAAGTGAGTTAATTATAGAATTAAGAAATAAAGTCATTGGAATATAATCTCATTTAAAATATTACTTTACTTGCTGAAGTGTATAAATTTTTTTATGCTTAGTTTTAAAAAAGTAGAATTATATTGTTCATGACATTTAGAAAAATTATTCTTAAAACTTTGAAAAATTATATTCAAATTATTTTATATTATTATTGTTGAAATTTTTATTTTGCTAGGTTTATTAACAATGTACTTTGGTAAGAGTAGCCTGTGAGCAATAATTTTTTTGCTTAGAAGTTCATTTCATTGGTAGAATTTACATTTATTTCAAATGGACTAAAATTCTTTACTACAAATGAGACATTTGGTAAATACAATTGTGCAGATTAATTTCATTTCATAAATTAATGAAAATCCCAAGAAGTTTCCAAATTTTAATTTCATTGTATAATCTTTTTATGTTTTAACAGTATATTATTTTTTAGTAGTTATTTAAAAAAACAAACCTTCATTTATGATATGGAGAAAAAATTGCTTGATAGAAAAATCTATATAAGCAAGTCTGCTTGAGCTTCTTTTGAATAAATATTCAATACACATTAAAAAATTTGGTAAAGACTGAATTATAATAAAAATGTAAATTAACTTATTTCAAAAACTGTAGGTACAGCATAAAAAATCATTAAAAGCTATGAAGAAATATGAGAAAATCTTTTACAATATTAATCCTAAAATTATAGTTAATGCATAATGGTACCAAATAGTGTTTTAATTTTGGGTGGTTTTAAAAAATTTTATTATGAAATCAGATTTTCAAAATCTTTTTTATATATAACTTTGCAAATTACTATGGATTTTAATTTTCTATTTAGATATGTTGCATTTTAGAAAAATAGTGTTTCACACATTATAATTTAATCCTTTTTTTTAAAAAAAAAAAAAATAAGACTAATTCTTCAAGAGAAATTTTTTTTTCTTCTTAAATATAAATGAGCAGATTTAATTAGTGCATTATTTGAGACAATTACCTTCAGCACTGTCTGTATTTTTTTAAAATAATGAATAAGTTAAAGAAAAGAACATGATTTATATAATGCTTTGACATGAATTATATAGAATGACCCATCAAAACATAAAAAATAAATTAAAAAAATTTTATATAATAAAAAATTTGTCAAATAAATTATGAAAAAAAGAATAATTTAAAATATTGGATATTCAGTAATATATATAATACAGGTGCGCCACTAATACATATTATCATAGCTGCCAACAAGGAGATTTTGAAAGCATGAACATCTAATAAACAAATACTATTGATGCCATAATGTTAAAAACTAATATAGAACAGGCAATATTAAAATTAGCCCATTATTTTTTGTAGTATTCTGAATGATCAAATGAAATCACATTCACTGTAATTGTTAAAGGAAAACATAGCTGGATTAAATCTCTTGATAACAAAATTACCTGAAGAAGACATTGAATAAAATTTTCTTCAACTGTGAAATTCTCAATTGAATGTAATATCTAATCAAATTGTATTAATTACAAGAATAAATATTAAAAATAATGAGTCCAAATACAATCAGGGATCAATCTATGCTTTCTAGCCTGGATTTTGTTTCTAAAATTTTGTGAAAAATATTTTGGAATTTTGTGGATACGAAAAATATCTCGTACTCCCAAAAGACCAACAAGATAATTTCAGAAAATTATTTTCGTTAAGAAACTAAGGTTTTTTTCACTAAACACAAAAATGTAAATGTTCACAGGTATGAAACTTAATATTTGAGTTGTAAGAATCCAAATAATACTAATCAGATATTAAAGCAATATAATAGGTTTCATGAAAGGATTGTTTGCAAAACTAAGAACTTGGTGGAAGGATGTTGTGTGTGTAAAATGTATGTATAAAGACTTTTTAACTTTCTAGAATCTTCCTTAAATCTTATTTTTTTTCTAGAATAACCCTTAACAATTTTAGAATGCTTCAATATATATAAACATGATTAGTGCTGAAATGGAAATTTTCTTACAAATCTTTAAGAAAATCGAATTAAACACCATTGATCTTGAATTCAAAAACTGTATTGTCAAAATCTCAGCAACAAAAATCCTCTAGCACAGCAACAAACACTGCATACTAATACGAAATTTGCAAATTATTTCTCAACTAAGTTTCCTTTTTAAAACATATCTAAACTTATTTATGCATAAAAAATAAAAAAAATCCAATAAAAATTAAAAAGTTCACAGTAAAGAACTCAAAACATCAAGTTTTTATTTTGCAAATTTTGTTACAGGTTAAATAAAATTTTTACATCTAACTGCAATGAAGTTGCAGAAAAATTTAGACAGTGCTTCAGATTCATATAGTAAATTCTGCTATCAGAGACATTATTTAAAATCTGTATAATTTGAAAAGGAAGTTTTATTTCAACAATTACTTGCAGAACAGAAATATATATTAAATGCTAGAATTCAGAGATTGGCGAAAAAGACACAAAAAATGAAAGTTGACAGCTATGCATTGGAAACTAATAAAAATAATACAATTAATAGCCCAAAGGATAATCTCATCCAGTTAAATATTCATGAATAAGCACAAGAAAAAGAGTCTATATATGCAAAACCGTCAATACCTTCAAAAAGAAAACTAAGCAATCCATAAAAATCTATACATATCTTATCTACAAACGTCAAACAAAATTATCATTTTCAAGATGTCGAATACGAACTCTTTGTTTATAATGATATTCTTTCAAATAAGATTTTATCTTCTTTGGTAGTTTTAACTCGTTTATGCCATCGTAAGTTATGTAATCTGAGATGACAGCCCGGCACAAATGTTGCAAGTCGAAAGGGAAGGTGCGATGAACCGGTATAGTAAGCATTGGCTCAAAGAACATGCAACAGATGGGGTTTTTGTAATGTTCTACAAGACCACAGACAGTATTTGAAGTGAACACATTTGGATCATGAGAGTCGAAACTAAATTTATGATTCAGTTGTTCAATGCGAGCATGTAGAGTTCGCCCGTAACGTCGGAAGCTGACACTAAATAGAAATTCCTCTTGTGCACTATCCCTTAATAGAAATGTCCCTTCAGGTTTCTTGTCCAACTGCTTTTCAGCTTTATACCGATCCATTTTGCCCCAGTAAAAGCTGCAATTGGTGATTTCTCTAAGGTCTGGTACAAGATGATGAACATAATCTATTTGAGTATGAGCAGTAGAAAATAAATTTAGGCTACAAGATCGCCTGTCAAATGCATTCCGACTATCTACATTGTAGCCCACATTTCCATATCTAATGACAAATGGGCTAGGTACAATTGAAAACCTCATATGCTCTTGAAGGGCAAGGGTCAACTGACTAATGCTGATTTCATTCAAAGACAATGGCTGCTGAGAAGTTGCCTGACAAGTTATCAGTAGATTACTATCTGAAGTTTCACCACTCTGAAAAATAATTAAAATAATGTTAAATAGATTCAACAGATTTAGAAATGACACAAAAAAAATTTAAGTTCATTAATTATCATAAATCAGTAAAATATCTAGCATAAGATAGTTTCAGATTAAATTATTTCATTAAATTTAAAACAAATTTTCATCATTCATTTATTTGTGAAGTATATTACATAAAATCTCAAATAGAAGTTGAGGAGGCCAGCCAATCACATACTAAGTTGAGTTTACCTACTTAGCTTTAACGGGGAAAAAAAAACATAAATACTAGAGTTGAAAATTAAGAAAACTTTAAAGAATATGAAGATATGATTGAATATTATTTTAAGATCTAATTTCATTTCTATTACTATAATTCTAAATTTATTAAAATATTGCTTCTTATTTCAGCTGCATTAAAAGTTAATTCAACAGTTTCTTTTAAACCTAAATTTTATTCTGAAATGATATTTCAAGTTTAAAAATCAGGTATAAAACATACTTCAATTATATAAAGAAGCTTCTTTACTTGAGGAAAAAGATATTAACATTCATAAATTTCTTTAAATGTAATTTTTTTTCACTGGTCTGTTTATTTTTACAAAATTATGGAACATGCATAACTAAATAAAGTGGCAATTCTTTCCATCCAAATTTTATCACTATTAACTAAAATTTTACCTACTTAAGGCATCTAAATATAACTACCAATATTTTAATTGTTTATTTAATACGTGAAAACTTTATAGCTTCGAAATAATTAGTCTTATCTTCATAAATTTAGACTAATTACATTCAGCATAATAAAATAAAACTGAATAATATAATACATAATCATTAAATAAAATCAAATAAATAAAAGCAGAGTGCTTTGCTCAAAGGATGGTACAAGTGGTATACCCATAAAGTTTATGATGTTTTTATTTCATTTTTTGTAAAAACTTTTAAACATTTTGGTGCAGAAATGTCCTTGTATGAGGAATGAATAAAGATAAACATTATGAAATAATAATAAATTAAATTAGTTAACAATACCTGTTGCCTATTATCACCAGCATAAATCCCTTCCTCTTGAGCCTGAGGATGCTGTGTTGCGTCATTTCTCGGACAAGATGCAATTGCCAAAATACTTCCTCTCATGTCATCTGATACATCAGTTGGTTTTTCCTTACTATGTTTTTCAGAGGATGATGCTTTAGTTTTTCTATAACCAGTACAGATACAAGTGGCTCCCTCTATGGATGCTTCAGATACAACTGAGCTGCAACTTTGCCATGCATCTTTACTTAAACTAAAAGTTCTTTTTTTAGATTTCTCTTTGTTAAAACCTTTTTGCCATTTACCAAAGGAAAATGTTTTAAGCTGACGCTTCATGCTGCGTTTTGCTTTACAAGAAGCATCTCCATTTTTGTGTTTTTTATCTCTTGAACGATCTCTGTTTCCAGAATTCTCAGTTCCTTCACCACTTTCTTCACTTCCCGATGTATCTTCCATCATTACAACTTAGATAAAAACCTAAGAAAAAAATGTATTATTATTAAAAACAAGACAATGCTATAAAGTGGAATTCCAATTCCACATTTTTCATCAGACTAGCATCAAAAAATGCATAAAACGGAAAAACATAAAATCGGGGTAAAAAAAATATATAAACATATTTTTTCAAAATTTACATTTATGGGATGAACCAATAGTAAAAAAGTGTAATTTCTACTTGTTCTTTGTTTTAGATACAATTACTATAATATCTCTCTCAGTACTAACTATTGTTTGCAGATTTGCTTTACTATTGCAAATAAATATTTTTTTGGAGTTTTTATGCCTTGAAACTTTAGATTAGTTATGGGTATATCCTAGATATATCCAGATATTTTTTATGCACTTTCATCACTATTTTCAAGAATAGGCATTAAATTAGATATTGTAGGAATTGAAAAGTATTGGGATGTGTGTTGCAGTCGATATACACATCAACTTCTTCAGCCAGCAACTTTATTCCGAAGGGCCTATATTTCGGTTGAGAAGCCCTCTCTATCAAACGCATTTGTAATATATTTTAGTCATCACTAGTCAATGCTGCAGAACTCTTTTCTTTAAATAGAGACTTCTAGAAAATTTATTTTTATTTAGAAGAAACTTGCAAGTTACTGAAATCAAGAAGAATACCAAACCAATTGCTTAGTGTAATGTTTTTAAATGAGTCTATTCCAAGATTCAGAAATTGAACTTTGCAGGAAAAGCTTCCACTTGTAAATTTTACACAAGTTAAGAAGCTCTCATACTTCCTTTAAGCACTCTTCCTGTGCTTGACCATCATGATTTTGACTCAAGAGTGAAATCCCCTCTCATAGAGGACAGAACAATATAATAAAATAGAAAGAATGTCAGAACAGAATGAAACTTGGAAAAAGTTTGTGTGCGCTTTGTAGAGAAAAATCTATTTTGATCTGTTAAGATTGTAAGGGAAAATATATTGAGTGGGGTTTTTCTAAAAAAGTGTAACATAAAACCTGGGAAAATGTAAGGTTATCACAATAAGAAATTTTCACGGACCAACAGAAAATGACGTAGTAAGCTAGATAACGGACAATGCAGAAACAGGGTTCCATTGTATTATAAAGTTATAACTGAAATTAAAAAAATTATTAATTCAAATGTATTTTTTTACCTTTATTGCTTGAAAAAAATTTTATATTTTTATATGATGGGTAAACAAGGGACTTCACCATACCTTATTCAATTATCTCACCAGGTGCTCTTGATTATAACTAAATAATGTCAGTTTAATGATAATATAACAAATCCCAGAACAATTTTTTTTTCCTAAAAGAGACAATTTAGCAGTAATTTGAAATTTATTGCTTTATATGTTATTCGTTACTTTAATTGTAAATGTTGACTGAGTACATGTCACATAGAATTTATAATTAAAGCAACTTATGTATCAAAATAATTGAAAAAAAGAACTAAATATATTTATCATAACAAGGTAATACATACTATGAAATAACTTAATAATATTATAAAAGAATCACGCTTTTAGTTTTAAGTCTTTAATTTTGAATAATAATGTAAACCAAAAATATAGTAATAGAAGAGAATAATAAAGTTAAGCAATGGTAAATATTGGAGGGTAAAACATTATTTATAATTTTATAACTAAATGAGTTAATTGTACAACCAATGAGTAGTCTATTTAGTTTAAAGTGACCACACGTCCCGATTTTGGCGGGACAGTCCCGCTTTTTGGTGGACTGTCCCGCCGATTTCTAAAAATGTCCCGCTTTTCAGAAAATATCTGCATTTCTTATTTTAAATGTACTGTAAAAATATATTACTTATTATTTAAGTATTATGGTGAATATAAAGAAATAAAAAATACATTTAAAAAAAAACATAAAATGCATGTAGAGTAAACTAAATTAGGCAATGTACCGAGTTTATTCGGTGGTCTTCGATCATTGTCGTTACGTCTCGGCTTAATTCAGATAAGTGCGGACTGCCGTTAGACAGTGCGGTTTGTTGTTTTCAATTTGACGTTCGGTTTGACTCATTATCTGATTGACAAAGATAGTGGTAGAGCAACAGTCACCACAACGTAGCGGTCAATAAAGTAAAATTTAATACTCTTTTTTAGCCTTTGTAGTAATTTTTTTAATTTATTTTTAGTATTTACCCACAGAATAAAAGATGAGTAAAAAAAGAGAATGCAAATTTAATGAAGAGCTAAGTAGAGAATATCCATTTATTAAAAAAAACCAAAATAGACTATATGGTACGGTGTGATAAATGCAATGCTGAATTTTTCGTCTCACATGGTGGAAAAAACGATATTACTAAACATCTAGCGACAAAGAGGCACAAAAGATTTTTGAATAATGCCGCTTCCTCGTCTAAAATGGAACAGTTTTTTCGCACTGCTAGCTTTGGCAACACGGAAAAACAGCTAGCATTAGCGGAAGGGCTATTTGCTTTCCACACCATAAACCTTGATCTCGAAATCAAAGTTTCAGATCAATGAATTCTACGTCGCAAATGATCAAAACATTATACGACAAAAAATATGCATGTGCAAGGACAAAAACCGAAGCAATTATTTGTAATATTTTTTCACCATATTCGTTTTCACAATTGCAGAAAGAATTAGAAAAATGCGCATTTATATCCATGAATTCTGATGCTTCCAACCACAAAGATTTAAAATTATTTCCCACAATTGTTAGATTTTTTGATCCAGAAACAGGAATTAAATATAGAATATTAGATTTTGTTTCATTGCTGAGTGAAACTTCACAAATAATTTTTGATTCAGTAAGTACTATTTTAAAAAAGAATAATTTGAACATATGAAATGTTACAGATGAAAAAATTAAATGTTGGTTATCTGCAAATGTGGAAACAGACAAAAAATGGACCGAGTTATTCCTTCATTTTAAACAGAATAATATTCCTTATCAAAATATTTCGAAAATTGTAGAATTCTCGCTCTCCCTTCCAGGAACAAATGTTGCAACAGAACGTGTTTTTTCTAGTATCAATAAAATATGGACAACTGAAAAAACGCAGTTGAACATTAAAATTTTAAAAATCTATTTTAAGTGTAAAATATAATTTGATCAATTCATGTGAAATATTTCACGACATTTTAATAAATGATCCGAATCTATTGCTAAGTATTCACTCAGATCAAAAATATGACCGTGAAAGAAAATCATAATTTTTTTTAAATAAAAAGTTTAATTTGATTAAAAATCATGATGTTCAAATTATTATTTTTTACAAATATTTTTATAGTTACCTATAATTAATAGTAAATACATTTTTGTGCAAGTATATGAATGTATTCAATAAAATATATATAACTAAATGGTAATTCTCATTTCATCCCATTTGTCCAGCTTTGTCTCTATGAAAATGTGGTCACTTTAATTTAGTTTAAAGCTAGAACAGTTGAGCAGGTCAATTTGACCCAAATCAATGTTTACATTATCATCAGACAAAAAGTATTAATCGAAAAACGAAACAAAAAAAAAAAAAAAAAAAAAAAAAAACTTTCACGACTTTCAACAATTTTATGAAAACAAAAACATAATTTAATGGGGTATTATTTACACACTTATACTTAGAACAGCAAAGCGGGTCTAATTAATCTGTAGTAAATAAAATTGATGCATAAATTATGAAAAAGAAATCCTCTTTCTTGGAAACAACATTGAAGCCACAAAACATTTCTGTCTTATCCTTGAAATCCTCAAATAGTCTGAACGGGTAGTTGGGAATAAATGAAGGTTTTCGATCTAGGTCATAATGTGTATCTGTGCTGGCATGTATTGGAAGTTCTTTTTTCGCTTCTGTTTTTACTGTAAGAATGCCCCCTCGGTGTAAACTTACCGTTCAGGATCTCTGGAATATTTCAAATAATTACCTGAAAATGATTAAGAAGATGACAATGTTTCGGTTTTGAATAGCGGTGATGAATACCTGCCTGCTAATGAAAACATTTTGAGTTCGGCTGAAGAAAATGAAAGTGAAGATGACTCGGGCATTGCCCTAACAATTACAGGACCCTCACATCGTGATAATGATAACTTTTCAGATAAAAAATTCAAAGAAAAAGAACATAGATACAAAGGAATCTAAAAAAGAAATTAATAATGTTCGAATTTGGAAGAGATGGGACAGTGTGGAATGACACGTAATTAGGAACAAAGAACATAGGAAGAAAATGAAAGCATAATATTTTGAATTAAGTTGGGGGTCCAACAACACATGCTAAAACCAATATTATGGATGATAGTTCATCAAGTGCCTGGAGACTCTTAATAGATGAATGGAGATTAAAACATATAAAGAAATGTATTGAACATCAAGCTCATCGTCAGATCCATGAAAGTGAATGAATAGTAGCATTAGAAGAAGTTGATGCTTTTACATCAATTTTATATGCGTGGGATATACATTGTGCAAAAGAAGCAGAACTGGATATCCCATAGGCAATGAACTGGGAACCATAATTTTTTCAAAATACAATGCCAACAGACAGATTTTACAAAATAATGAGGTTCGTGTGCTTCAATGTAAAACCAACGAAATCAGATCGTCTACAAACAGACAAATATGCTCTTGTATTGTTTGGCGGCTGATATTGACTCAAAATATCTGATTAATAGATTTCCATGTCTCGGAAAAAATCAACAATGTCCATCCAACGTTTCTCTTTCAAATTATGTAGTACTAGGCCAGGATAGCCTGGTAAGTAGGGTGCTGGGCACATGCCTATGAGTTTGTCGGTTTGATCCCCGCCGGCCAAAGACTCCCCATGTAGTAAATGGTGACTGATGCACGTTAAATTTGTTGAGTCACCAAGTCCTTCATGTTCCCATAACAAATCAATATCTCTGGGAGTACTACTGATCCAGGAGTTCCTTGTCTTCTGGATTGGTTCAAAATTACAAGGCTACAGAATTGAACATTAGTAGTCGTAAACAAACCCAACTTTGTAGGAATTGTAAAAAGCTCAAGAATAAGAATATTAGACACTATAAAAGTGTCAAATTCCAAATTGTATTCAATTGCTGTAATAAAATGACTCATAAGGACATCAGTCTAACTGTTTACCAGAAGAAAAAAAAATAAAAATATTTTGTTGTTAAGTTATCTTCATCAAACTGTTAGAATTACAAATGATAAAAAAAATACCTGATACCATTGGTTTTTACAACGCAACTAAATTCAGCGTAGATGTGATTGACCAGATAACAAGGAAATATACTGTCGAGGCTTGCTCACATACTGCTTGCCTACGATAGGTACTCTGAAAGACATTCGTCTGGAGGGGTGTCGGTGACTATGGTAACGAGGTATGATTATTTCAAGTAGGAGTGCGGGGTCCCTCTTTAGGACTGGTTTCGGTGGGAGAAAAGGAGACTTCTTTCTTCGGTCTATTGTATTAGCCCTAGAGTGAAGAGAAATGAGCATTCGCGCCTGAAACATCGTTTACAGCGTTCGATTCCTTTTTTAAAAATCTTTTCTCTTTTTAAAAGCTTCTGTTTTAGAAAAAAAATTCAACAAATTTATTTGTGTTGTTACTAATTCTTTTAATTAATTTTTTATTTTTCCTCTTTTAACTTTTTTGAATATTGAGAAATGCCTTTTAAATTTAAAAAAGGTGAAGTTTTGAAATCACAAGCACGTAAAATTGTGCACAATGTGTTTGAGTTTTT